CACACACACACACACACACACACACACACACACACACACACACCACATCCAAATCCCACAGCAGCCTTGGCTGGCCAGATTTAAAACAACTCAAATCCATTCTCTTACAGTCTTGGAGGTGAGGAATGAAAAAAAAAAAAATTTCAGTAAGAATGCTTCCTTCTGGAGACTTCTAGAGAGAATTTGTTTCCTTGCATTTTCCAGCTTCTAGGGGCTGCCAGCTTCCCATGGCTCAGGGCTGCTTCCTCCACCATCTCTGTAGTCCCTGTGCCTGCTACTGACTCTGCTCTCCTGCCTCCCTTGTCTGAGGTGGCTGTGCCCATGCTGTGCCCAACCAAGGAAGTTGGGAGATGGCCCGTCTCGAGACCCCTCATCCTCACCCTTCCAGAGTCCCTTTGACACATGCAGAAACATTTTGCCAGATTCTGGCAAATGGGATTGTGGATGTTTTGGGTGTTTTGGGTGGGGATGGTGGTAGTAAATTGTTTGTCCTGCCATATTTACCTTGGAGTCAGCTGATGTCAACAGTTTCCTTGGCTCCTTCCAGAGCTACTTTACCCCTAAATAAGTCAAGGTGTGTAAAATAGATTTATTTCACCATAATTGATAGCATAAATTATTTCATCACTTTCCAATTGTGGGGCTTTTAGGTTCTTTTCAATCCTTTTTCTGCAATGAATAACTTTGTCTGAAGAATTATACTCAGTTAAATATAGTGTTTTTCGGAATTTGGGGGTACCATTTAAGATATGTTGCAGTTACAAAATTTTGGGGGGCAATGATTGCTTAAGATGAAACTGTGGGTCCCAGTTGGTGTTCTGTAGCCTCCTTTCCCTCACTAGCCTCACCTTCCTTCTGAGCCTGACAACCCCCACCCACCCCCACTCCCACCTCCACCGTTACTCGCTGCTTTCAGTCTGTGAAAATGCTTAAGCGAAGGCCACAGATGTGCTCGGAGTATTCATAATGTAACTACTGCCTCTCTTGCTCACATGGAAAACTTCTAAGAGAATTTCAGACCTCTACAAACAAATGAGGGAAGCCATTTTCAGGAAGTAGGCCACCAGCTCATATCAGGCTGATTTGTTTCTCCAAAACCACTGACATGGAAGAGACAACCATGAGAATAGCAATGCCAGGGACTTGTGAATTGCTCGGGCCTGGCCCGAGGTACAAGATGCCTTCCCAAATGCTCATGGGTAGTGCCATCTGCATGCGTCAGGACACTGTGTAAGTGTGCTGGGACCAGTTTCCTGGGCTCTGAGAGGTCATATGACTCAAGGTCACAAGGTAATGGCCACTGGACTGCTCTTGGCTACTGAGTATTTTTTTTTCCCAAAGTACATTGATTGTTTTTTTTTTTTTTTAAAGATTTATTTATTTATTCATACAGAACTGGGGTACAGGCCAGAGATGCGGAGGGTGAGAGGATTCACCAGAGACAGAGTGGGGAGCAGAACAGGCAGATCGACGAAGTACACTGCTGAGGGGAGCAGCGGGCGGGTCAGGAGAGGTCTGGCTCGCCATGTGGTCACCTCCGGGGCAGGCGGGAATCGAACTCATGCGGAAGCGGCTTTAGATTCTCAGTGCTGTGCTTTAACCCGCTGCGCCATCAGGGAGGGCCCCACATTGATTGTTTTTGACTGTTCCTACAGAAAATGCAGAGAGAAGAATATGAACAATACATAGGCATCACCTACTTCAACAATTATTAACTCATGACCTGTCTTGCTTCATCTATGCTCAAACTTCCTTTGTTTTCCACTCCTGAGTTATTTTGAGGCAAATCCAGATTTGCATATATTTCATGTGTCTTTCCATTGCATATATTTCATTCTGCACCCCCTCAATTCATCCACAATTCTTTTTAAAGAGCTTTCCCCTAGAATTTAGAAAGTTCTACAGGGAAAAGGGGTCAGATTTTTTTATTTTCTCCTAAAAAAACTGGGAGCTGTAACAATGCTGGACCTGGATAGCTCTAATCATTGCTTAGAGCTGAGGGGATCCTGCCTTTCTAGATAAAAGATATGCAGTTATTTTGCCATAGTTCCCACCATTCCCTCTTGTACCCTGAGAATCTCACTCACATGCACCATCTGCCTGGCTCCTAGAAGCGTTTACTTTTTGTAGGGAGTTAACCCAAAGGACAAGTTAAATAAGACATTAATAAGGAGATAAGATTATGTTTATTGCAGATTGTAAGAAACCATATTAGATAAAAGTCTTTCTAGGAGTAAACTTTGAATGTGGAAAGTAACCAATTTGGGAATTTTGCTCAGTGAGACCATGATAGAAAGAAGTGGTGGAGGTTAATAGAGATCTACTATGTGTTCCAGCTCCTTCACAGATATTCTTGCTAAATCACCAAATAATCTTATACAGAAGGAACTTCACCCTTATTTTTCAGATGAGGAAACTGAGGCAAGGAGAGTTTAATAATTTCCTCAAGGTCACTCAGATGATGAGCAGCAGACTTAAGATTCGCACACCTGGAGTGGGCATCTGGATATGTGTGCCCACCATAACCATCACTCTGAAAGAGGCCTGTGAAAGAGAATTTGACAAGGGGTCGGTTGGTGAGGCCTAGGAGCAGTGGAGATACCATGCTAGCATTGTGGAGGCTGCCCAGGATCTGGAAGAAGAAATATAGGGCCCAGGAGCAGAAGTAGAGGAGGGGGCTGTCCAGTGAGCAGAGAACATCCGGAAACAGGTGCCACGAGGCGTCTGCAAAGGCAAAAATGTTATGGTTGACATTGTCCTGTGGGTGGGGTGGGCAGGGAAGGATGCTTTTTTCTTGACCCTCAGATGAACAGAAAGGTTTATCCTCTAGAATAGAGCAATGGGACCCTTGTTCCTGAGGCCGTCTGAGCCCCAGTCCAGGCCCCATGGTTTTTTTTTTTTTTTAAAGATTTATTTATTTGTGCATACAGAACTGGGATACAGGCCAGAGGCTCAGGGGCGGTGAGAGGCTTCACCAGAGACAGAGTGGGGAACAGAACAGGCAGATCGACGAAGTACACTGCTGAGGGGAGCAGCGGGTGGGTCAGGAGAGGTCTGCCGCGCCATGTGGTCACCTCCGGGGCAGGTGGGAATTGAACTCATGCGGAAGCGGCTTTAGCTTCTTAGTGCTGTGCTTTAACCCGCTGTGCCACCAGGGAGGGCCGCAGGCCCCATGGTTTTTACCCAGAATTTGGTGTGGGGCCCAGGGCCTCTCAGGTCAGGTGGTATGCACACTGCTTCCTATTCTAGAAGGCCCTCCTGGAAGCTTTCATTTCCTCTCATACTCTCAAGGGAAGCCATCTCTCCACCCCATCCTCCCCGAGCCCAATGTCTCCACATGACGGTCTCAGAGTGCCTATATGATGGCCTGGATTCTCACCTGCTTCTTCTGAGGCCCAGACACCCCCTGTTATCTTCACAGCCTCACCCAAGCCCCCAGGCAGGTGTGCCTGGCATTCAGCAGGTCTGAGCAAGTGCTGAAGGTTGAGGGAAGGAGCAGGATGGTGTGGGCCCACTGATTGACCTATGTCTTCTCCCTGCAGGTTGTCCCTTTCCGTGGAACAATCCAAGGGGGTCTCCAGGAAGGACTTAAAATCACTATCAATGGGATGGTTACTCACTCCAATGAAAACAGGTACCTGAACCTCTTGTTTCTCTCCAGCTTCAGTCCTTAAAAGCCCTAGCATTTCTAAGTTCTGCTCGATTCACTCAGTCCCTCCCAGGCCCTGGCATCACCCAGGGCACCACTGTCACCTGTCAGTTACACATGGGGCTAGTAGGGCCAATACAATCCACAAGCAGAATGCAGGCCTGTGCAGAAGCATATGATATTTTGCTGTTGAAATTTGTACTCTGACCCAGAATTGAAAAAAAAAAAAAAAAGATCATTTCCTTTATTCCCCATAGCTGATGGGGAAATATTTGAACTTTATCATCAAATGTAATTTGGTCAGTTTTGGTTTCAAGGTCTTTTCTGGAAAATACTAAGTCAATTCAAAATATGTCTTGGTGCTGTATCCCCCATTTGCTCCTGAGGAAAGTCCTGGGGGATGTCTAAGAACAGGGAAGAGTTTGGCCATCTCACTGGCCCTTAGATGCTTGTGCAGCCCTAGCTGACCTCTACTGAGGTCCAGGGCATGGAAGCGTGAGATCTTTGCCCAGCGTGGGTCTGCATGCTGCCTCCCTGCTGAAGCCCCCACCCTTGGCATCTCTCAGAAGCCTGTGTCTCAATCCCAGCTAACTTGGCCCCAGTGGTCCTGTGCTCACATCCAGGCCCAGTCCCACCTCTCGGCTTAGCATCTGGATTCTAGGCAACTGCCTCAGTGGCTTCTAGCCAGGTGGACACAGGACTTCTCTGAGCATCCTGAGGGCCAGCGGGAGACTCCAGGGCAAGTGAGGCCCCTGCAGTCCCTAAACCCTGCCTGCCCCACCCCCCCAGGCCTCATGCCTAAATTTCTGCCCCTCCCTCCTCTTCACCTGCCCTCTCCTCCCCTCTTGTCCAGTAGCAACTGCCCTTATCTCTTCCCACGGGAGCTTTTGCTCTGTCTCTTTCCTGGGGCAGGATTTTCAAAGCTCTACAGGAGTGAGCCTGTGGCCACACAGGGTAAGGCTACTTCAGAGCAGTAGTGTCCACTTGAAAAGGAATGTGGACTTTCTGGTCCAAGTCACCAGTGCGTTGCTTTAGTGCTTCTGACAGAGCATCCTGTCCCTGTGGACAGAGAGCTCGCTCAGCCCCCTGGATTTGAGAGTGGCATCCCGGACTCTCGTCCCCACAGAGAAGCCAAATGGGCTCCTCAGGAATGTAACAGAATGTCCCGTGGGGCCTGGCCCTGCAGGGGTGCAGAAGAAAGGAAAGTGGCGCCTTCCCTGAGCCCCTTGTTGGTGCAACACTCTGGAGACGAGAAGGCACCCCAGGCAGACTGCGGACAGTGTGGGGGACAAGTTCTGGAGTTGCCTCAGTGGAGACCTCAGCCTGGAGCTTGCTGTCAGGACACTAGCAAGGAATGTCTTGGAAAAGGCAAAAGAGCCACTCCTTGTGAGCCAGGCTTCATGGAATGTCGGAGACCAGCTCCAACTTTTGAGGTGTCTGGAGGCAACACAGGCAGGACCCTAAGATGGGAAGGCGTCGGCGTGCAGAGATTCCAAGAGGGGGAGAGGAGTGGGAGTGAGGAAGACACGGGAGTCGGAGTTGGGTGCAAATGTTCCTGCTCTGCCTTCAGCAGAGGTTTATTTTATACATTTCCAGCAGGCAGGGGGATGGCATTAGCATACGAAAGGGGTTAAGATCACAATCACCTTTTTTCTAAGAAAATGGTCTGGGGTCCCAGGAAGAGGAAATTTCTTGCTAATCAAGAAACTCGCTAAAGGTTTTAAGTTTCCTACTTTGAAGAAACTTGCTAAAAAGGTTTTAAGTAAGTTTCCTTGAGGTCCAGACAGTAGAAAGCATAATTTGCTCTGAATAGGAGACGTAGGTGAATTTCCTTATCTAAACACTAGATAGTAGAATCCTGAAAGACTGGCCAGAAAGACTTTTGTGGATTGCTTTGAAGTGTAGCAGGTAAAAAACTTGACTAGCTCTAAAACAGGCAACCTGGATGAATTTCCATATCTAAAGCCAGACAGTAGGAGGTTTAAGTAATTCTGTAGAAGGAGGCTAGGTGAGATAGCCGAATAAGATTTGGGTTTTCCTCCGTCCAGCAGTGAGAGACTTTGCAGAAACAGCCCTTTTGTTTTTATTGATCAGCCAGTTGTTAAGTCACTTTTGACTTTAGAGGAATTTCTCACCCTGGTGCAGTGCTTGCTTGTCAGGGCAGGCAGGCCTTATGCAGCTGAGGCAATCCAATTGTAGGCTGAAAGTTGCTCAGAATATTTTGATATTACGAATATACAAAAAAGGGAGGTCATAACACAAGTTAGCATGGAAAGTCTGATCTTTCAGAGCTTTTCCCGAGCTACCCGGAATCTGTCAGACGATAGCCGTTGCATAGCTTGTGTCAATGGAAGCTTCTTTTAATTCCCCAACTTAGAGCCACAGCTGGAGTCAAAGGAGGTTCTGATGGCGAGAGACTTCTTCCTCAGAGAAGCAGTAACAAACATTGACTTGTGAGGAAGACCTCTTGAACCTGTTTCATGAGTCATCCCCAAGAGCAGCAAACGGAGGTTCTGGGTTATCGCCATAATAGGGCAGAGAGGGGGGCTCACTTTCCACACCTCAGGTGGCAACACCCCTCCTTCGAAGGAGGGACAAACACCAACGTCTCCCAGAGCTCATTTTATTCACAACTTCCTTCCCAGCCACCGTCCTCGTAAGGCCTCCCCACGCTGTTCACAGGCTTTGAAAACATGCTCTCTTTATCCCAGCTGAGCAGAGGGGAGCTTGCCCATGAATGCCAAAGTCTCTCACTTCTAAGCCCCTTTCTCAGCTTCCTTCGTTGACTCCAATTTGTAATTAGTTCCCAAGATGTAGGCTCCTTGTGGACAGGAGCCTCATTTTTCTTCATGCACTTCCCACTTATTTTAAGAAAGTCACCCTGCAAAGGCAAACTAAAGGTGCACAAAAGCAATTTGTCACTAGCGGAACAGAGAATGTCAAGAAGTTGTATGTACTCTCTGCCCGGCAGGTAAGGCGGCAAGTTCTTGAGGAAGTTAGTGGTGAGAGGCCCTCCTGGTGTCAGCCGAGTTGCTTCCCCTTCCTAGGTTTGCTGTCAACTTCCAGAATGGCCACAGCGACAAGGAGATAGCTTTCCACTTCAACCCGCGCTTTCAGGATGGAGGGTATGTGGTCTGCAACACAATGCAGAACGGAAGCTGGGGGCCTGAGGAGAGGAAGATGCAGATGCCTTTCCAGAGGGGAGTTGCATTCGAGCTGTGCTTCCTGGTGCAGAACTCAGACTTCCAGGTGAGCAGGGACTCTGGCCATCCCTCCTACTGCCTGTCCCCAGCCCTGGGGCTCTGTGAGTCACCTTTACAAAATCACATTAACTGGAGTGGGGTTGAGCAATAACATATAACAAGACTGTTTCTTTATAAAAATGTTAGTGATGGCTGCAGCCTCTCAGTGCACCTGGTGGTTCTTTTACTCAGGAAATAAGAATGAGTTGGGCCTCCCTGGTAGTGCAGGGGTTAATGTCTTAGTGCTATGAAGTATCCCCAGCACTGCAGGCAGAGGGATTAAGTCTCAGCACTATGAAGCTGTCACCAGCCACTGTGGCACGAGTTCGATTCCCAGCCAGAGAGGTGACCCACACGGTCCAGCAGACCTCTCCTAGCCCATCTGCTGCACCCCTCAGCAGTGTATTTCAGTAGATCCTCCTGTTCTGCTCCCCATTGTCTCTGGTGAATCCTCTCTCCCATAGCACCTCTGGCCGGCACCCCAGTTCTTGTATGCATAATTAAACAAAATAAATCTTAAAAGAAAATCAAACTAGGTAAGTCACCTTGTTGCTTTTTGGCCTCCAGAGTCCCTAAGATCCAAATTAATTCTATTCAATCCATCCCTGGAAATACATACTTTTCAGTCACATTACTACAACCTTCACTAAGGTTCTCTAAAAGCTGTTTTGCCAGAGATTGCAAATTGTTTTGGCAAGCAGAGTTGGGCCTTTGGTGTGGGAAATTGAATGTTTTTGTCTGTCTATAGAAATGTGGAAAGTTAAAAAACAAACCCATGCCATTTGTAGCAACATGGATGGAGCTGGAAGGGCTCATGCTTAGTGAAATAAGCCAGAAAGAAAAAGAAAAATACTGGATGGCTTCACTCATAGCAGGAGTGTAAGGGATCAGGGGGAAAAAAATTGTAAGAAGTAAAAGTGAAAATCAACAAATAACTATAAACCAAAGACATTCTATGGGGGTGGAGAAGGGAACAGGATCAAAACTGTGGTGGGAAGAGCACACGGGACTATGGTGATGGCACATAGGTGAATTGGTGGTGGGATGTCCATGGGGATCACACAACCGAGAAGAAAAAGCAAACACTACAAAAATGAAGAGTGATGTAAAAAATATATTAAAAAGAAAGAAAGGCAGAAAGGCGGAAGTCCCAGTTCCTCAATGTGAAACCCAAGGTCGCCTCTCCTTGCTCCCCATGAATACTTCCGTGCACATTTAAATGTGCATATTGAAACAACACCCCAGGTGAACTACTGCAATAAACAACTGACCGCCATAAGAACTAAAAGCCAACAACTAGAGCCAAGTAGAGAGAGACCCTGCTGCACCTTGGCTCACAGGTATATCCCTGACACAACTCTGCAGTCTAAGGTCCTCCACCAAAGGGAGACAGGTGATGAGGGAGAGGGGACGTCCTGGAGGCCGGATGGGCCTGTGCGGCCTGGGACTGCTCTGCTGAACAGGTGACTCTTCTCTGCAGGTGACAGTGAACGGGAGCTTCTTCTTGCAGTACTCACACCGCGTGCCCTTCCACTGTGCAGACATTCTCTCTGTCCATGGTTGCGTGCAGCTGTCCTACATCAACTTTCAGGTAATATGTCCACCTGGCACAGACTGGGTGCGGCACTGAGGGTACCAGTTTCCATCCAGGTACCCCTAGGGACACACCAGTCCTGTCCTGTCCTGCCTGTGTCTCTGTCTGCTCTCCCTGCCAGCCTGGCTCTCTCCGCCTGGCCCCCTACCTGCCTTTCTGCTCTTCCTTGGCTTCCTTAACACACTTTCTCTCTGCCCTTGATGTCTGCTTTTTGTTTTAACAGAACATCCGTGTGGCCCCTGTCCAAGCTGTCTTCTCCAGGATGCAGTTCTCAAAGCCTTCTCATTCTTCATCTAAGCCTAAGGGGAATAGACATCAAGTGAGTGACTCCCAGAGGCCCCGGGAAGTCAGCAGAGGGCCCTCACGGTCCTACAGATCCAGCATATCCACCCAAGGGTACCCTGTCTCAGCCACACCACCCAGCCCCGAGCTGGGGACCTAGGAGTCATCCTGGGTCTCCCCTCCCCTCCTTCCTAGCTGCTGGTGCACCAACCCCTCTCCTTCCTGAAGCCTCTGCCTGGGTCCAGGCCAGCTGGCCCTCCCTCCTAGGGCCATGGTGTAGTTCTCCACCCTCAGACTCACTGCTAGACACATCTGGTCACATCTGCTCCCTCATTAAAAGTCTTAAAGGCCCCCCATCTGCCTTCCCTGTTCCCCCAAAGCTCTCTCTCCAGCCTCTACACTTTTGCACACGCTGAAAGCCTACTTGGAGGCTGGGGGTGTCCCTGCCCTGGCCAAGGACTCCTCTCCTGAGCAGGTGACAGTGAACAGAGGCTTCTTTTTGCAATACTCACACCGCATGTCCTAGCGAGCCCCTACTGGCCCTTCAATGTTCTGTTTAAAATACCCTACTTATGAAGTGAAAAAAGAAAAGAAAAGAAAATATCCTACTTAAATGTTTTACTTAAATGTCATTCCTGGCATCTATCTGCTAAGTAGCTGGCTGGACGCCCTTCTCCCTCCGCCAGGTGGGACTTTGTCCCTCCCTCCCCGTGCCATGCCACTCACCAAGTCCCACTGTACCTGTGTCTGTCCCCATCATGCACCTCCCCTCCCCCACCCCCAGGGGCCTCTTGGGCTGGGAGTGTGGCTGTTTGTTAGCACAGTGTTCGACTTCAGTAAGAAATAAATGTGGACTATAGTTTGCTGTGCAAACTACAGGAGAAAGACCAGAACAGTCTGCTGGAGGGGGATAGTCCCCTGGACGAGAAGGGGAAAGGCTTGGCCCTTCCTTAGGCTACTTGAGCAGTGGGAGCTAGGGGCTACTTGAGCAGTGGGAGCTAGGCCAGGACCAGAGACAAGGCTGTCTCTGGTCCTGGCCTTCCTTTAGGCCATCAGGAACAGCTGGAGCTCCATTGGCCCCTGCAGGGCAGCCTGGCTTTGCCTCTGGCCAGGGAAGGACAGGGTGCAGTAGACAGTGTCAGAAGAAGAGAATGCCATTTTGTATTTTATCACTTGCTGCTTGGGTGAGCTTGGGTAAGTTGCTCAGCCTTTCTGAGTCTGTTTTGCCTTGCCAGTGAAACCAGAGCTAAGGATTCCTCCCCCATAAAGCACTGAATCCAGAGCCTGGCATATGCTAGGTCTTCAGTAAGTGCCAGGCTTCAAATTATTGGTGAAAAAATGGCGCCAGGAGAGGTGTGCTTGCCTCTGGGAGCTAAGCAGGCAATATGGCCTCCATCAGTTTCATGATCCTCTCTGGAGCAGGCGATGGGAATGGCCCTCTCCAACACTGACAGACCCACCCCCTACCAGGGGGTTTGTACCTGCCAGGGTGAATAAGATTCGGGGGGGGGGGGTGCCGCAGTCTCAGGAAGGCTTGCTTGGAAGCAAAAGGAAGATAAGCAATAGTCTAGGGATCATCCCCACGATTTCTGCATTATCTCACTGCCATGCGGCTCTACTACTTTGCTTTTCTCATGCCCTTCAGTGTCCAGGTGTTCAACCAGTCAGCAGGGGCCCCATCATAAGTCTCTTGCTCTCTCTTTGGGACCTTTTTATTGTGGGTCTTCCTGTGGGTTAGAAGCAGGATATGTGGCCAGGCATTAAGCCTTCCCCAAGGGGAGGGAAGTGAGCAATAACACCAGACCCCTCACCATCTGCCGGGCAGAGGTGGTTGTGCTAGTGGTGGGTGGGAATCGAGGACGGGGTGGTGGGCTGGCCCTGATGCAGTGGAAATAACCTGAATTGACTCTTGTTTGCTCAAGCCACTGCTATCCTGACAGCAGTCACAGAAAACTGAGGCCCAGCATTCACTTCCTCCTACACAGTGTGGCCACCTTGAGGAAATTCCTCTGAGAGGAAAGATGGGCCAGGGGCCACAAATGCAGTCATATTTCTTTTCCAGAAGAAATTTATTTGTGCATATAGAACTGGGGTACAGGCCATACCATGCCCCCTTGAAGGAAGAAATGGTCCTATTTGCCCATTTTAGGGTCTGGGCCTGGTGGTGGGTTGGTTACCGGCTCAACATGCCCTCTGGTGGCAGTTAGTGGTATTGCTATTGGCATTGACGCTGGTGGGACTGCTTAAAACACATTTTCTTTCTTCTAGACTCCAATGGTCATCCATACCGTTCATGGCGTTCCTGGGATGAAAACATTCCCTGTAAGTCTGAAAACTCTGGTCAACTCACAAAAACATCAATACCCCTTCAGTAAGAACTGGGTTTTCTAGTCCCGAGTTAGGAGGAAAGTAGTTGAGTAAGGAGGGGGAGGACATCTGGGCTGGGTCTCCGCTCAGGACTCAGGCGCAGCTTTCCCTGGGACAGCAGACAGTCTAGGATTACCCAGCAGCCAGGAGATGGGTCTTCTGGCAGGAAAGCCTGAACTTCTGTGACTTAAAAGTCGGTTCAGACCCTCCCTGGTGGTACAGTGGGTTAAAGCACAGCACTAAGAAGCTTAAGCCACTTTAGCATGTTTTCGAAAGCCGCCTGCCCCAGGGGTGACCCACATGGCGCGGCAGACCTGACCCGCCCGCTGCTCCCCTCACAGTGTACTTCATCAGTAAGCCTGTTCTGCTCCCCACTCTGTCTCTGGTGAGTCCTTTTACCACCCCTGCACCTCTGGCCTGTACCCCAGTTCTGTATGCACAAATAAATCTTTTTTAAAAAAGGGGGGAGTGCAGTGGCCCTTGAATGTGAGGTTCCTGGCCCTGCCTCCGGAGAATAAGTCCCCAAGATGTCACAGCTGGTCACAGGCTGAAGCTGCTTCTCCTCCTCCTGTAGGAAGCCTGGAACTTCCCAGGAAGTAGCGGAGCTACCAGTTGGAGGGGTTGGAGAGGTCGAGGGTCACGGGGTGAGGGGCACCCGGGGGACAGAGCAGGAAGCGCTACCATGGCTGACATGAAAGGAAGGGCATGGGAGAACCCAAGGGCTGAAGCCTCAGGACATCAGTCTCCCATCAGAGCGCCGCCCTAGATTATGTGGGGGCCATGTGCACACAGGAATGTCATGAACACATGAATCCACACTGAATTTTCTGGTGTCTTTTCAACAGAATGCTATGCCCCCACCTATGGTGAACCCAGCACAATTTATGTTAAGTGGTGCTCAGGGGGGAGCGGAGGTTTGGTTTGTGCTGGGCAGCCGGGCAGGGGAAGGGCTGCGCAAATTAAAGCAGTCCCAGAGCTGTCCTGGGCTGAAGGCGCTTCAAAGCGGTGCTTTAGTCAGCTGAAGTTCTTCAAAGAGCCAGTAAGGAAGGGCAGTGGCGCTTTTACCTCTGACGTCCCTTCGCTGTGAAGGGTGGCCTTCCCCTTTCAGCCAAGTACGCTCTGTGCCTGCTCTGTGCCTGGCCAAAGTTGCCCTAGTGATGGTTTAAGCCCACTCACCTGAGGAAGGCTGAACGCACTTCCTCTGGCATTTGCTGAACCAAATCAGCCATCGTGGATTTCTTCCACAAAAATGCATCCCCTCCAGGCATGGTAGTCAAACTCTGCTGATGCTGAATTCTTGGAACTGGGTACAAAGTGCCCCGTGCAGCCAGGTCAGGGCCTAGCTGCAGCTGGATGACCTGCACTTCCCCCCCACCCCCTCTAGCCACTGCCACTGCCTTACTTTACCTCCATCCCCGGGGGACTGTACCCAACCAGGAACATCCTAGTGTTCGGCACCATCCTCCCCACCGCTCAGAGGTAAGTCAGAGGGCGCTCCCCTCCCAGGGGAGGCAGGCCCGAGGCCATGCTATCCCCTCGCTCTGGGCAGGCTGGGATGGGGGGCTCCGTGGTGGGGGGCAGAGGACTTCCATGTGAGTTCCCCACCCGGTCCCCAGTTTCTACATCAACCTGCGCTCCGGGAGTGACATCGCCTTCCACCTGAACCCCCGATTCAATGAAAATGCTGTGGTCCGAAACTCCCAGATCAACAGCTCTTGGGGTTGTGAGGAGAGAAGCCTGCCCCAAAATATGCCCTTCACCCGTGGCCAGATCTTCCAGGTAAGGCCCCAAAGCTTAGACTCAGAGATGTTCCCTTGGGGCCGGTGAAGAAGGACATGGGGGTGACTTCTTGAGGGTTGGGAGCTGATGCCTCTGGAGTGCACTCTGACCCCAACAGATGCTTTTTCTGATTATCTTCCACAGAAGGTGGGTCGTGCTAGATGGGGAAATAAACTCACAAGTGCAGGTTGCTCTCCTCAGGTCACAGAGTCCAAAAGCGACCAAATTCAGAATGAGGCGTCGTTCTTTTATTCACTCAACAATCATTCATGTGCTACTTGATCGAGGGCCACTTTGTGGAGGACGGGGCCAGGTTCTGTGGGCACAACCAGGAAGCAGAGGCAGCCCTGCCTCCGCTGAGTTTCTAGAATAGGTGGAGGAAGAATACGTAGCAGGCAGGGGCCGCTCACTGCAGAGCACAGCAGCCCCAGGCAGAGAAGGGCACAGGCGGATGGCACCTGCCCGGCCTGGGGGAAGCCAGCTGGCAAGGGGGCCCCATTCAATGAGGCCTCAGTGATAGGAGAGAGCAAGCAAAGGTCTGAAGGGCAACTTCTCAGTCCGTGGGAGCGGCCATTCACACGGGCAGAGCCCTGAGCTTGGCCTTTCTGGGAACAGGGAGCCCAGGGCTGCAGACAGAGAGGGGCCGGGGGGTCTGGGGGTACTGCCCCCAGAGGGAGGCCCCTCACACCAGGCAGGTGTCTCAGCCCCGATGGCACATTCAAAACCTGCAGAGTTGAAAAAAGGAACATCGGTGCCTGACGTTATCCCTGGCCAATGAGGGAAGAGTCTGGGCATCTGTGTTTGAAAATGTGCCCTAATTTTCTGCCCCCAGCATTTGAAATGGCTGATGTGGGCCTTGAGGACCAGGAAAGGGAGCTTGGATTTTTTTAAATAATATAATAGTTTATTTTTACATCATTTTGTGCATTTTTCCATCTCAGTTGCCCTGTGGGCTTCCGCTCCTTTTTTTTTTTATTTTATAAGTTTATTTTTACATCATTTTGTACATTTTTTTTTCCATCTCAATTGTAATCCCTGCGGGTTTCCCATCACCAAGTCACCCATGTGCCATAACCATAATCCCATGCACTTCCCTCCCCACCCCCCAGTTTTTGATCCCATCCCCACTCCAACCCCGCAAAATGTCTCTGGTATATGGTTGTTCATTATTTTTGTTGTTTTCCCGCCTGGCCCATTATATTCCTGCTATGAGTGAAACCATCCGGTATTTTTCTTTCTCTTTCTGGCTTAGCTCACTAAGCATGATCTTTTCCAGCTCCATCCAAGTTGCTGCAAAAGACATGTGTTTCTCTTTTTTGGTTGCTAAGTAATATTCCATGGTATATATGTACCACATCTTGGGAGCTTGGATTTTAATACAGTCTATAGGTGTGTTTCAAGTCAGAGAGCCACAGCTATGATTTCTAGATAGCTGTGTGACCTTGAGCAAGAGACTCAACGGCTCTGTGCCTCAATTTCTTCCTCTAAGAAAATGACCTGGGGACAGCTGGCCGTGCATCCCATTATTAGGATGAAATGAGGTGGCGTTTGTGACAGGCTAAGGACATGGGCCACGGAAGGGCGCCAGTGACCTTGAGGGGAGTGTTTGGGGTGGAAAAGACATGTCGGGACATTGCAGCTGTCTGAGCCCTGGGTGTTTGAACCCCCGCTGAGTGAGGATGGACCGACAAGGCCTGGGAGGAGCATGCCTGGACCAGGAGGCAGTGAGGAGGCAGGAGAGGCAGGGAGGGCTTGCGGAAAGGGCTTTGAATCGGCAGGGTGATCCGCAGCGCCCCCTGGTGTGCAGGGCAGGAAGGGCATTCGAGGCCAGGAGGGAAGTAGAGGGCAGGTGTTCAGTGAAGAGCGAATCCTTGCAGTGGCTAGAATGCAGGTGTGGGGCTGAAGAGATGTTTGAGGAGGAGGGAAGGAGCAGTAGGAGAGACAGGAGCCTGCACTTAGCTTTGAGGACTTCCCGGGGCTGTGCCAATGATGGCCTCTCTGCCCAGGTGTGCATCTTGTGTGAAAACCAATGCTTGAAGGTGACAGTGAACGGTCAGCACCTGTTCGAATACTACCACCGGATGAAGAACCTGCCTGCCATCAACCACCTGGAAGTGGGGGGTGACATCCAGCTGAACCAGGTGCAGACATAGGCAGGATCCCCAACTCTGGGAATGAAAGTTGGGGTGCTGCTTTCTGGGTCTGCTCACCAACATCTCCCCTGTCCCAGCCCTCTCCCAGCCCCTGCAGCTTCCAGACACCATATCCAGTCTGGCTCTGCTCTGGCCACTGCAGGCCTCCAGCTGCCCAAATCTCACCATTGAAGGCCAATGGTACTGATTTGCTTGAAACCCACATCCAGGCACATAAGCAGAGAGGGAGGGTCCTGAGGTCCCCACACTCCCCTGGTCTCCACCAGCTGGCAGGCCCCCCTCAGCAAGGTCTCCCCTTCCCTCCCTTCCCCCGACACCCTATGTCCTGCAAATAAAGAATGAAAATGCTTGGCACAAGGCCTGGAATGGTGTGATTTATTTAATCGCTTGGAGACATTTTGGCAACTCTGGAATTAGGGGGAGGGTGTCCTGACCAAGGGCAGCAGAGGGAAAGTTTTCTCCTTGCTTCACTTTGAGGAGTGTCTAGATAGCCACACCTACTCCCAGGGGACCCCCCCCCCCAGTCCTCCAAAGCATGAGAGAAGGCAGGCCAGCCGCTCTGGGAGAGAGCTCTGTCACCGGAGCTTGGTGACAAGTGAACAGAGCAAACAGCCCCTGCTTCTGAGGTGGGGCCCAAGAGCCCTGAAGGCTCCGCCTTCCTCCGGTCAGTGTCTCAGCGAGGGAGGCAGCAGGCAGGGTTGGGAGAGGCTAACTCAGAAGAGGCCTGGTTGTGTTGTTCCTAAGAGGCTTCCTGCATGGGGGGGCGGGGGGGCGGTTAAGATGTTAAGATTGGTGGGGACGGCTCCATGGAGGGGGGTCAGACCAGTGACTGGGCCAGGCCAGGTGTCTGGCTCTGTGTCCAGGTGATGCCAGCAAGAATCCAACACCTAGGAGTTGGGGGCAAAGCCTAGCCCTCAGGCCAGCAGCACCTGGCTGCTCAGTAGCAATGCAGAGCCCAGCCCTGCACAGCCCTCCAGAGCCAGTCTGCAGGAAGGAGATCTCAGCCATCCATGCCACGTGGCAGAGGGAGACGCACAGGGCCGGGTGGCTGCTCTTGACAATGTTCAGAGGCCAGGCCAGGCCATGGAAAGATGGCAGACCCCTTTCTCACCCCACCCTCCCCTGCTCCCATGGGCACAGAGGTGCCAGGAGTGGAAGGGGGAGGAAGGGAGGAGAGAGGAAGAGGGAAGGAGAGAGAGGAGAGCAGAAAGGAGGGAGAGAAGGGGAGGGGCTGGAGATAAAGAGAGGGAGAGGAAGGGAGAAGAAGGGAGAGGGTGGGAGGGGAGGAGAGGAGAGGAGGGGAGGAGAGGCAAGAGAAAGGGAAGACATGGACCAGGAAGCCAGTGGAGCAGAGGCCAAGCCAAGCTGGGGCCAGCTGAGCTGACAACACACCAGCCCCTGGCTGAGTCAACCTTGTTCTCGGGGAGGAAGCGTGGCTCCGCCCCTCAAGACTCCCCTGGAAGACAAGCCACCTTGGCTGGCTGCTGGTCTTTGGAAGGCCATCTGACCTCACCCGAGTGCCAAACCATTCTTATGCAATAGTGACCCAGGAAGAAATGTTGGCTTTCCCATGCGGGGGTGGGGTGGGGGTGGGTGGAGGGGGTGCTGAGTCAGGGTCTGTCCCAGGGGCCGACCTGCACCTCCTGGCCCCACAAGGGTTTTCAGAAGTGGGGAGAAGCATGGCCTGGCGGGTACGCCCCTTTATTCAGGTCATAGCAGCGCCAGACCCCCACTCTATATAACACCCCATCCTGAAGACATGTAATATGGTTAATACAAAATACCTTTTATATAAATATCTCCAACAAGGAATGAGACAGGGAAGGCCCGAAGGTCCTTTGTTTTGTTTTTTAATACAAGGCATAAATAACTGTACAGGTGGGGGGGGGGGCGGACAGCTAAATACAGAAGTGGCGCCGCATCGCCTCCTGGTGGTCACTCAAAGTGATGCACTCGACAGTCCATCCTTCACACCCACTAGCCAGGCCTGACAGAACAGCTAGTTTCCAAGGACAGTGGGAGGCCCCACCCTCTGTTATCCAGGAAGGGTGGGCTCCAGGGAGACGGGGCATCCACTCAGTCCAGGCTGCTACTTGGTAGCAGGCCAGGTAAAGCATTTGGGGACTACAGAGATGGGAAATAAGTGGTGGGGGACATAATTTCCTCCATCTCCCGTGAACGCAGATAATCAGGAGTTGCGGCCATCATTAAATCATTAAATCCCGTGCTTGCAGTATCAACCTCTTATGTGGGCTGCTGGAGATCTGTTGTCACTGGGCTGCTCCGCTGCCTCTTCCTTCTTCTTCTCATAGGGAAATAGAGCACCAAAAATGTCTTCGTGATAGCGCTTCTGGCTCTTTAGGGGAAAACAGAGGAGATGCGTCAGAGCTTCTGGTCCAACCCCCTTACATTCATCAGGTCTGGGCTAGGAAGAGCCCCTGGGGTGGCCCCTACTCCCCCATCACACCCACATGCAGAAGTATTTGACCTCCCAATCGTCATGCTTGGATCTCGCTTAGACTTTCTTTCTTTTCTGTTAGCACCTGCTGACAGGCAGATCACCATCTCCCCCAAGCTTTACAATGGGCAATAAAACCTGGTAAAGCCTATCTGGGACTTGTCCTGTCAGCTGCTCTGATAAAGAGAAGAGGGGAGGGAAGGGGAGGGGAGGGGAGGGGGAAAGGGAAAGGAAAGGAGTTTACTGCACACTTCCTGCCAGTCTTGAAGAGCCATGGTGCACACAGAAGAGCAGAGGATGGGTCACCCACTGCAGCTCTCTGGCCTGTTTCCCTGATTAATTTTTCTCTAACACATTTTACTCATTTTGTCATTCCCACACATATGTAAGCTCCTTCCAGGCAGGAATTCTTGGCCTGTTTTGCTTATTATCCTATCTCCCAGCACATAGTAGATGCTCAATAAGTATTCGGTTGTCCCTGGTGCTCATAGCCCTGCCTGCTCTGGAACCTTTGCTACAGATACTTTCTGAGCAGGGAAACTTGAGGGGAAACCAGGAGACTTTGCCTCCATTCTTCAGATGGAAATAACAGGAAGAGTTTCTGTTGGGAACCCAGGTGACGTATATCAGCCCTAACAACCCACAAGCTCAGACCTCCGGATTCCTCTGGGGTCTAGGACGATGAGGCTGACTCCCGGCCTATGTTGGACCTGCACCCCTTGCTCACACACCAGCTGCCATACCTTAAGCTGGAAGAAATAGTCCTCCACCTGCTCCTCATTTAGACTCAGCTTGGCAGCCACCAGCTGCCTCAAGGCGCGGGCCACATCCCGGGCCATGCGCACGTCCCCACAGACGTAGATGTGGCCTTGATCCTCATGGACCACGCGGAGCACCTCGTCAGCCAACTTCTGTCGCAGGATGTCTTGAACATAAACCTGAAGCCAGAGAAAAGGGTAGGTCCAGGCCCTAATGCTGGAGTCTGTATGAGGCAGTGGGAGAGCACATGTGCTCCCAGCCAGAATGAGGGGGCTCAGCACCCTCCCAGGCTCAGAATGAGGAAGCACAGTGGCACGTGTCCCGCCCAGGGCTGGGTGAGGGCTAGAGGCAGAAACTGTCCAGTGGGGCTCCTACATTTTCTCTGAATTCACCGTGATTCAGAGAGACATCAATCAAGACACTTCCTCTGCCCAGGTCTCTGAGGCTACCTGCCTCCACCCCAGAAAAGGGAACCTCTTAACACAGACTCTCCATGGGGTCCCCACTATAACTCAGAGCAAGGCACAGAGTCCTGGCTCCCCAGTTTCACAAAAATCTAGGAGTCGAGGGGGATTCTGCTCTCCTTCACACACAAGGTACCCAGAGACCCCAGCACTGGGCATGGAGCAGAGTATGAGATAAGCTCTGTGGGGTTAAGTCCACCACGGGTGGGTCAGGAGTCTGTTCTGCCCCGGGTTCGTGTGGCAGAGTGCCCCTGGGGCAGCCTCAGTAGGCTGTGACTACAGCAGCAGCCTTCCAGCTTTGCTGGGCTTGAACTCAAAGCCGGTCTGGCCCACCTCTCTGGGCTGGGACTTGCAGCAGGCTAGGCTCTAGGGATCAGCGCAGTGTGTGACTTGGACTTAGTCCTGAACCTTTCAAAGCACGGCTCTTCTGATAGGGCGAAAGTGGGCAGACTGACAACGCTGTGTACGGTGTCTATTTTGGCCTAAGGAGAGGCCACTCAGGGAAGGGCGTGGCTTGTAGGGAGCTCCACCCACTGCCCTGCCCACTGCGCCAGAAGCTGTCTCGTTTACCTTGGGCTGACCAGGCAGGCGAGAATAGGCTGTGTGGACCTCATACAGCACCCCCTTCTGTTTCATCTCCAGCGTCTCCTCCCGATAGAGGTGGTCCTCATCTGGGCGCCGGCACCCGAACACCAGGGTCATGCGGCCTCCCCGGAGCCCTGTTACGACCCGGCAGGTTGCAGTTACCAGGATGGCCGCCAGGGGGCGAGCCAGCACTCAAGATCCGACAAGATGGCGCCCAAATTGAATTCTCAACCCATCCCCATAAGATATTGTCTAGTAATTGCCCTCATTATACAGATGAGGGACTGAGCCCCAAGATGTCACACCCCCCCAGTCACACAAGCAAAGAGTGTCGAGACGGGCTTTCATCCAGTCTATCAGATATCAAAAAGTTCCAGTGTGGGAAGAGAGGAAGAGCTGATTCCAGCCCCACAGGGGCCCACGGACTGAGGCAAAGTTGGGAGAAGAATCAGGTAAACTGGGACAGTGGCACAGTTCTCCTGGGTTCCTGTTCCACCCCAGCCAGGCGCTGGCCACCAGCACCCCTGGGCACCCAACCCTACCTTTGTGTTCAGCTTCATAGAGCCGCTGCTGCCAGAAGCTGCGGAAAGGGGCGATCCCAGTGCCAGGCCCAATGAGGATGCAAGGTCGGGAGGGATCCTCAGGCAGCTGGAACCCGCTGCCACTGCAGGGGACAGAGGAGAGAGGCCGGGCTGCGGACATCCGGGTACAAAGCTATGCAGGAAGGGGCTAGGTGGGTGGGGTGCATTTCGGGTGGGGTGGGGGGAAGGTGCCGAGGGGTGGTAGAGAAGGCAAGAAGCTCAAACTTGATCTTCCACATCCTGAGGACTGTTTCGTTTCCCCCGGCCAGCCACACCATCACCTCACCCTGGGCTTTTGAGAAAGGGCCAAGCTTCATACTCTGGACCCCATCACTGCTGTCCTCTCTATCCCTGCTGGAGACAGCCAGGCTCTGCCACCAGGTGATAGGATGGGAAGGCTCCACAGGCACCTGGTGCCTCCTTTATGGCCAAGGGACCCAGAGTGGCACAAGCCCCAGATCCCTCCACTTCACCCAAGAACTCCTGGGAACCCGTAGTCACATGAAGGAGGGGCTATTTACCTTCGTACAAAGCAGGGCACTGGGTCTTGGGGCTTCAGGTTGTTGAGCCATGTGCTGCAGACGCCGTGGTGCAGGGGACCCTGGCCATCTGCAAGGATAGCAACACTGACCAACACAGCCCCCCAATCCTATTACCCACACTAGAAGCATCCCAGTGGCCCCTCCCACACCGCACACCCCCTCCAGATGCCTGCCCAGGCACTCTGCTGGCTTTAATGTGGGAGCTGTTTTTCTTTCTGGTTCTAAAATCTACCCAAAAGGCTGCAAGGGGCTTGTAGCCTCTCTTTTTGCATTATAGAAAGTGAGTCTCGAGTACAAGACTTGTACAAGGTCACCTAAGTGGTAGTGAAGTCTGGTTACGGCAAAGCTTCCCCGACTCCAGCTCCTATAACAAAGACAATCTGGAGTCCACCCCTCAGCTCCACTGGGCATAGCACGTGGGTTTTCTCAGGGTGACCACACTCACTGCCCAGAGTGTCCACCAGTCCAGCCTTTGCTGGTAGCAACCCTGGGTGAGTACATGCCTGAGAGTTCCCACCTATACTGACATCTCACTGTCTCTCTAGAGGCCCTTCCTGGCTTGGGAAAACCCCAGCTTTCTCTAGATTACATTCCTCATAGCCCACTTTTAAAGGAGCCCTCACACTATTTGAGAACTCCCTCGGCCCCGTTTTTAAAAACGGTGGGGCTGTGCTTCACAGAGCGCAGAGGGTTCTAGGGTGTGGACCAGCCCCTGAGCGTTGCCAACCAAGTCAATGCTCAGTTACCAGGGCAAGGCAGGCCCTTGGTGGGCCATGGAGGACCCAAGGGCACCAGGACAGGTTTGGGGCCTCTCAGCCTGTCAGCCTACCCCCAGCCTCTGCTTCATAGCACTCTGCACTTTCGTTCTTAACATCCAAATAGTGATAACTTTTTGCCTGTTTCTATGACACTCTCTCCATTGTCCCTCTAGATGGGACGCTCCATGAGGGCTGAGCTATGGATGCTGTATTTCTATACCCACAGTGGTGCCCAGCACAGAGAGGTGTGAAGTAAAAGGTCACTGAATGAGCGATGGAAGGAATGCACTGTCAGCACAGCACCTATGTTTCACACGGGCTGTCAGGAAGGCCTGGAGTCTCTGGGCTCCCACGAAGGACTGGGTGCTTTCACATTTTGACTATTATCCCAATAGTCGGACAGCAGAGTGGAAGAGAATGGTTAAGAATGTGGACTCAGCAGCCATACTACCAAGGTTTGAATCTCAGTTCTCTACCTACTAACAGTGTGAATTTGATCAAATGGCTTAAATTCACTGTGCTTGTTTCCTCACCTGTAAACTGCACACAGTCCCCATCTTGCATGCTTGCTGACCGATAATGCATATACCAAAGGGTTAGCTCAGTGTTTCATAATTACTCCCTTTTGCTACCCACAAATCTCTAAGGTGGGTGCTCCACCCCCATCTAACTGATGAGAAGATCAGAAATCAGGTGTGCTGAACAGCTAGCTACCCAAAAGTCACAGAGTGGGGCTGCCATGAAGTCTCTGCCCCACTTCACCTTGGGTGTGGTATGTGAGTACGGCCACAGTGAGGTGGATCTCTGTGGGGGTACAGTCCCTGGAGGAGCTGATAGAGTAGTATCGGGGTTTCAGAAGAGGGAGCTGGGAGAGCAGGAAGCCAGCAGTCATCTTCAAGGATGGAAACTCCTCCAGCACCTCCAGGAAGGTGGGGCTGTTGGTGAACTTCCACTTGTTGTACTCTGAGGGCTGAAAGCCAAGGGTAGCGTAAGGGACTGAGGGCACTGACCCCACACTGAGGGGAGAGGCCGACACAACCCAGGCTTCCTCCATTCATCTGTTCATCCATCCATCCTTCATCCATCCGTCCTTCATCCATTTGTTCACTCCCTCCCTCAATAAACACCTGCTGTACTGGGCGCTGTCCAGGGTGCTGACACAGGACAAGCTAGGAAGGGAAACAGTTCCTGTGCTGGAGGAGCTCACATCACTGAGGAACATTTGTGTAATTTATGTACCTCACTGTCAGCAACTCATGGTCAGGAGTCAAGTCCATCATCTATTTTGGGGCAAGTGTTTGGAATCACACAGATCTGGGTTCAAATATTAATTGGATGCCCTGAGATTTCGTCCCAATTAGTAACCTTTGTAAAAGGATAGCATCACTTACCTCATGCGGACTATTGTGGTAATTGAATGAGAAAGCGTGTGCCAAATTAGTACAGTGTAGCCACAGGATAATGTAGAGGAAGTTGCTGGAGTGAAAGTAATTAATGATAATGATGAAGGTAAAAATGATGTCCGGTGCCATTTGCAAAGATTTGGGCCTGGAAAGGTGAACTGATGCATTCTTTTGGATAAATTAATGAATTGGTTTATTACATTTCATGATAAAGTTGTTATAAGGAACTGAGTGAATTATGAGTTATTATGAATAAGTGATCATTAATAAATTAATGGATTAATTGGTGCAACTACCATCTGTCACTGTGTTCATTTATCCTTTTTCATCTACACCATCCATCTGCCAACACTTCCTAAGTTCCAAGCTTGTTCCATATTTTAGGAACACAAAAACAGAGAAGATATAGTGATTCTTCTTCTCTAGGTAATTTCTGAAGTACACTTTAGATGCATCCTGCAGACGCGCACAAATATTCAGTCCACACAACACAAATGCATCCTATCCTGAGATGGGGACAGAGATGGGAGTGACTTCCCGCCAGTCTGTGGCAAGTCTCCCTTTGGGCAGCTGAAATGGAGTTCTTGGTTTCAGCTCCCGTTGAGACCCTGTCCCTGCCTCCCCATCAGCCCTGGCCTTCACCTGGCACAGCTCCTCCAGCTTCTGCCTCTCGGCCTCTTCCGTGGCCAGCTGTGACAGCTTTCGGAGCAGCAGCTGGCTCGGCGGGGTGGTGATGTCCAGCAAGTAGGTGAGGGCCTGGCTGAGTGAGCAGGGGGGCAGTCGCTTGTCCTTGACCCAGTAGCTGCCTGAATAGAGAAGAAAGGAGACTGGGTGTAAGAAAGGCCCCAGTTAAGCCTTCCAAAGGGTGGTGAGACACAAGGAGGCAGAACCTGCCCCCCCACCCTTCAACGGCAGGGCAGCGAAGATGCTGAGGCTGGGTCCTAAGAACAGCAAAGGCAGGTAGGGGATGATGCCCAGAGACAGGGTACCAGGGAAGTCTGACCAACAGCCCTCCGAGGGGCACCTAAGTGGACACAATCATGCAAAACTAAGCATACACTAGAGTCCAGTCCCTGCCGGCCCAGATCTGAACTTTCACAGGAAACCCACAGCTGAACACAGATTCAGGACAGCTAAGCATATCAGAAACTAATGGATGCCTCAGTTGTTCCTTTAGAGAGAAGCCCACAGCTGCGGGTGTCTGGGGTGATGAACAAAGAGGTGCTGGGGGAGCCCCATCAGTGGCAAATCTCAGGCATCCCAAAAAGCAGTATGCAGGCAGTCACAGCAGAGAACCTGAGGCCAGGGAGTATTTGCTCAGAACTGCTCCCCACTTACTAGCTGGGTAAGCCTTGGGTTCCATCTCTGACATGGGTGTGATAACAGCCAGCCTCACTGCTTTGTCTGAGCAGTGAATGAAATGGTGCATGTAAAATACATGCCTGGTGAAATGCTTGGCACCTGCTTTCAATGAACATGTGCCAGAAATGGCAGCGTGACGTTACTGTGTCCAGACCTGCAGCCTGATGAGCCATGTTCACCCTATAGTCAGAGGAACCTCTGTCTGCTGGTACCTTAGATTCGGTGTCCTCACATTCTCCTGGATAGTCAGGGACATGCTAGACTCTGCCTCTCTGAGCCCCACCTTCCTCTCGGGGGTACACACTCTCTGGAGGTGTCCTTGTCAGTGAGGCAGCCGAGGGGGCAGCTACTCCTGCGGGTGGCCACGAGTGTTGATGTCCTTAGCTCACCCCTGTGTGCCTGTCACTGCGCTGCCCTCTCCACATGGACCGAGGGCCTCCCCTGAGCACAGGAAGCGGGAGCTTGGCCTCCCCAGGAGGGATGGCCAGGAGCAGGCATACTCTCCTGGCCACAGAGCTCTGCCACCCATCGCCCCGAAGGGGAGGCTACATAAGACCTTTGGTGGAGAAGCATCACAAAAGCAGAATGCTGTGAAGTGGGAAGTCACACAACTGAGGCCCGAAGGGACGCCTCTCTCACCTGCGCAAACCATCACTAGCTTGTGGGAAATGGACATTTCCCCATCCTGGCATTTACATGGTGCCAGGAATTATGGTAAAAGCTACCATGCACCCACACATTTGTGCCTCACCACACCCCTCCCCGCCAGGCTCAACTGTTTCGATTTTAGAGATGATGGAACAAAGCTTGAGAGGTTCGGCCAGAGCCTCGCGCTCAGAGCTCGCCTTGTCACACGGCTGCCGCAGTCCTCTGCCATGCCACCGAGCGAGCAGGTCTGCTGTATGTGCCACTGGCTACTGTTACCCTTATAGGCATGCTCACAAATGTCAGCCATGCCTGCCCCCCGACTAGGGAGGGAGCTCCCCCAGAACAGACAGTGAATCTTAGTTTTACAGTCTGTGGCCTGCCTGGCTTATAGGGTAGCAAGTTAAAATTTCAACTGAAAGATAATTGAGCCAATCAACAACAACAAAAAATGCCAGAATGCTCAAAAGACAGAAGGGCAAAGTCTTCTCTGATATTGGCCAGACCGTTCCAAAGAAGCATCCTCCTTTCTGGCCTGCAGGTACAAGGAGCACCACTGGCTTGCAAGGTGGCTTCGGTGCAGGAGGCGTCACCCACTCAGTAGGGCTCCGTGAGCTTTCTGGCACGGGGGCGGGTCTGGCCTGCCAGTGGGGCTGCACGGCAGGGTTGGGGAGGCCCCAGGGCAGAGGGCTCACCGCTCTCGTCGAGGGTCTCCAGGCGCACGGGTTGGTGGGGGGCAGGGCCGTCCACCACTCGTTCCAAGATGCCCTGGACCAGTGCTGGCTGGTTGCCTGGGAAAACGCCAAGGTGCTCTCCAGGCAGGTAGCTCAGACCTTGGCTGCTCTCACAGGAGAGCTCTACCAGAAGGATGGTGCGGCTGGAAGAGGGAAGAGAAGCCTCTGGTGACGACACCAGGATTTCCTCCAGGGCTCCCTGACAGATGGGCCTGTTTCCCCAGGAAACGCATCCTCCTTCATCCTCCTGCTTTGGCCCATGAGTGTGGGTCTCGACTAGGACCTGGGCTGAGGCAGCCTAGCGCTGGGGTGCTGGAGGCTGGCTAGGCTCTGTGGCTTCACCCTGGGCCCGGAGTCGGGGGGGGGGGGCTGCACCCCTGCCTGGTCCTCCCCCTGAGGCCTTGACCACAGACTCTGCCTAAACAAGGCGCCCCAATAGGAGATATGTGGGCACTGCAACAGACTCTCCTTGTCCCGGCACAGATCTTGTTCTTACAGGGACAGAGACCACTTTTCCTAGAATAGGGGAGGAGAACACAGATAAATAAAACCTTTGATGTCACTTTCCCTGGTGGGAAAATGTCCTTCCCCAAAACTTTTCAAAAAAGATCTTTCAAAAAAGCCAAATGCTTTGAGCTTCCCACGGTCTCCCCTTTCGCTGCAAGTGTTACGTGAGGAAGGAGAGGAAGAGCAGCAGGTGCTGACTCCCCAAGCTGGAAAACTGGCCGGTGGCACGCGGAGACCCTGTAGAGGTGGACAGTTCTCCACTCTCAAAGACCCACTTGCTCCCGTCTGTCCTTCAAATAAAACCTGCAGAAAATCACCCAAGAAGCCCTGACTGTTCTACCTGGATTTTGGACTCTGCAGATTCTTTTTCGACTTGAGTTTCATGGTGAAGACGTTCTTGGCGTGCATATTGCTGAGGGCTGTGGGGGACAGAGAAATGGTGAGGTGGCCAAGTAACCCGAAAATGCTGGTGGAGGCAGCCTCCACGTGCCTGAGTGATTACACCCAGACACCACCCTTGGGGTGTCCCTTGCGGTGGTGCTGAGGGTTTCTTTCCTTCCCTTGCAGGTCCCTCTCCCCACCCCCACTCCCTAGTTTCTGACTCACAAGCAAAGACCCTTGGTCTAGAGAGGGCACCATGCTGCTGCTGGAACTGGGAAATGCAATTTAGATGCACAAACATGGGGACATCTAGGGCAAGCCTGTGGCCAGGGTTCTAGAGGAGAGCGTAGGTAAAGTTGGGGATATGCTTAGCCACGGGGAAGCCTGCAGCACCCCAGTACTCATGCCCAAGGAAAGCAGAATCACCAGTCACGGGATCCAGAGGGCATGGTGCTGAAAACCCATGGACTGGGTGGAACTGCCCCTGCAAGGGTCCTTTCCGGCACATGCCCGGCGGCCATCAGATCTGGAAAGCTGGGGCCGAAAGCCTAGCGGGCCAGATGCTAGCGATTTGCTTCACCTCCTGTGCTTTAGCTCTGTGCCTTTCTCAAAAGATGAGTGTCAGGCCTCACTGAGACCAGGGGCAGAGCCAAGCACCCTGGCACACCTCAGTTGGCATTGGCTACCTTTTCTCTCCACTATCCTCCTGAAACTGCCTCCAGACACAGAGCAAGCTGGTGAGTCTCACTCTCACAGGTGCTTGAATGCAACAAGATAGAGGCCTGCAGCCTCGGGGCAGCATCCAGGGAGGGTCTCCGGGACCCAGCTCAGGGCTCAGCGAGGCCTACCCAGGCAGGAAGGGCAAACAAGCCCAGGGGGTGCAGGGAAGCGGGCACCTTTGCTGAGGTCCAAGGGCTGCGAGTCCCGCATCAGCCTGTACTGGTGCGGGTCCCAGTTCTCGTTGCAGATGTAGTGCTTGGGGATCTGAATGTGGTTTTTGCCTCGGACATCAAATGTCTCACAGGCTGCCTGGAAGGAGAGAGAGCAGACTGGTCATCCCCATCGCCGGTATACAACCCGCCACCCCAACAGGGGCTGCCATTTTTAGGTCCTCACTATTGAGCAAGGTGTGTCAAAGAATTAATGAGTACACTTGATTTGGCTGAGTGGTGTGAAGCGGCCAGGCTCGGCGCACCAGAGCTATTGTTATTACCGTGAATGTGGGTGTCAGTAGTATCTTGTTTTATCTGCATGTCACCCCATCAGGTAGGTTGGATTCCGTCCATCTTCCTGATGTGGAACCATGTGGGACAAGTCTAGCGTGGGGACATGTCTGTCCCAAGGCCACTGAGAAGTGGCATGTTTGTTTAAATGGGGACATCTCTAATTCAGTGGGGTCCAGCCACAGGGTGATCAAGACCCACCAAGTTGGGTCCAAGGAACTCTCTGAGGCTGGGAAGTAAGACTAGGTCATCAAGGGGTGACCTGGATAATCAGAGGAAGGGAAGACCTGATAGCAGAAGCTCCCTGGAGGCAGGGTGGTGTCCTGGCCACCTTCTCCCACTCAAGGAGACACCTGCTGAAAAATGAAACTGCTCTGGGGGCTGAGGGAGAGCAGCGAGCCCTGAACCCCAGGCCTGCAGCCCTGGTCCCCACCTGCTGGACCTGTGGGGGTCTTGCCACACAGGAGGCCAGGCACGGGGGTCCTGGACAACCATGGGCCACAGTATCTGTGAGGCAGGCTGTCTGTGAACTGACCTTGAAGGTTTGCACTGCCCAGCTGCGGAAGGACTCCTCCTGCCCGCTGAGCTCATCCCCTTCCCCAATCAAGGTGAGCGGAGAGGCTCCCAGCTGAGACAACTTCTGGTCGATGTCATGAGCAAAGGCGCAGAACTGAGGGTACATGCTGGAGCCGAGGCCAAACACAGCATACCTGCCGAGGGGGACAGATGGACAGTGGAGAGCCAACCCTGCAAGCGTCACTGGGCTTCCCGAGGCTGCCCAGGCAGCCCCCTCCAGCTGGGCCGGTGCACACCCCTTCCTGGTCGTCCCCAGCTTGTAGCCTGTCCCCAACCCTGATGACCAGCCCCGTGCTTGGCTGCAGACCAGAGAAAGGGCTTGACCCTTGACACAGTCTGAAGACAGGCTCCCTCTGTGCTGGACATCTCAGTTAAATGCCTCAGAAACCCCCAGAGCTACAGCCACAACTCAGACTCGGGCTCACTAGGCAGGGCTCAGATAGGTGGGGAGAGGGGAGGACTCACCTGAATTTGTTGGTGAGCTTTTTCAACATGAAGAGGGATTTCTTCAGTTTCTAGAAAAAAAGAGAACCAGGGTTCTCAGCACAGGATTAACAGAAGCATTGCTTTTCCTTTTCTTCTGGTGGTTTATTTAAAAATTGACTTCATCTGCCACAAGAAGGTTCTAGATCCACAAATGGAAGTTGGCTTATGGGTGGGGCCCGGCTGGGACTCAGGGGCGAGTAATTCACGTGAGTCTGCCCCTTGAAGGGGCCCATCCAGTCCGGTAGAGCGGGGCTTGTCTTATGCAGGGTCTGCGGAGGGCTTCTTAGTGGGGCATGAGCTTCTCTTGTTTGGAACCTGGTGAGAGTGTTGTCTAGCCCAGTATCTTCTGAAATAAGCTTATTTTCCAAAAACTCAAGATAATTGTAGGTGATACTGACCCAGCAGAAAGAGTATCAAATCTCATGGCAATAAAATAGTCTCTTCTCTGTAATTTTTATGCTATTCCTTTTGCAATCATCTGGGGGAAAGGGAGTCCTTCAGAATGTTAGGAAGAAATTCTCAGATTCGTGCTGAGACCACACACCTCTTAATGGTTGCTGATTGTTTTTTGAAAAACAGAGGCCCTCCCTGGTGGCACAAGGGTTTGTTAAAATGCAGCAGTGAAGCTGGCCACTGCCACTTCTGTGCGAGTTCGAGCCCTGGCCAGGGAGGTGACCCACATGGCACAGTAGACTTCTCCTGGCCCGCCCGCTGCTCCCCTCAGCAGTGTACTTCGTCAATCTGCCTGTTCTGTTCCCCGCTCTGTCTCTGGTGAATCCTCTCACTGCCCCTGTACCTCTGACCTGTACCCCAGTTCTGAATGCATAAATAAAATATATGTTTTTAAAAAGGAGAAAGAGAGAGCCAGGTTAGGCAACAGGATCTACCTAAAATTCACTGTTTTTGGCTTTCCTTAGTTTTCCTTTTATATTGGCTTTCATTTGTGAGCGTGTTAGCAAATGTTTAAATTCAAAAAGCTCAGTTGAGTGACTGAAGTGTACTAAGCATCTTGTAGGAGAGGCTGCACTGGCACGTAGTGATAACTGTGAAGGAAGTCAGGGGCTGACAAGAGGGCCTGGCGTGCTCTGACCCCTCACCCCCAGTGTCTTCCTTAAAGCATGCTGAATCCTCCAAATCTTTTCTTGGGACCGCCAGATCTCTGGGACTTTGGCCACGCACCTCTCCGTTGCCAGGGGAGTCTCCGTTTCCAAACGTGCTTGTCACCACCAGCAACAGCTGCTCCTTCTCCAGGCTGTCCAGTTGGTACTCGTCCATGCAGAGAACCTGCAGATGTCCACGGTGGATGTCAGCCCTCAGCTCCCCCGTCCTGACCCAGACTCCTTGGGCTTCCCTCCCCACCCCCCAGGTTGAGAGTCTCCTTCGTCATCTCTGTACCCCCTGCCTCCAACCAGCATCAAGAGGGGAGCACTAACCCTATCAAACCAACACATTCTCCTCTTCCCCTCAAGCCCTACAGCAAACACATCGGCAGCCCAGGGACCGCTTCCTCCTGAATACTGCAGGTGCCGTCATACGGAATTGGAATTCTGCGTGTGTGGATATATTTTCCACAAAAATGGCACCAACTGCACAACAGCACAAGCTGTCAATGCCTTTGGTTCCTGAGAACCCAAACACTTTGCCTGCAGCAAATGTCAGTGAAATCCAGGCCAACCTGACTTGGGTGAGGGTGGAGTAGAGCCCTATAGTGATGGGAGGAGTCAGTCACCCTTGGGGTTTTGTTTTATTTGTCTTTATTCGTCCTTTGCTCCCCTTCACATTAACATTGCACCCTGTACCATGGATGTTCAGGGTGCAGGGTTCAGGAAGGTGGAGAACATTCACCAAACACAGCTCGTGTATGTTGACATTTGGTTCTTTCGGAAAGTGTTTCTCAAGCCACGTTCCCTGGAACATGGAGGAACTTGCTTGCTGTGTGAGTTTAGGAATTCCTGGACACAAGCCTACCCTTCCTACCCATATATGAGGGTCATCAGCACTAATCCAAGGCTCTGAGGCCTCCAGGAGCAGAACAGTCATTTTCACGTTCCCAGACATCTCTGCGCACAGGCAGAGAAAATGGCAGGCAGCAGCTGAGCGGGCTACCTTGGGGTTGAAGGCGCAGCTGAACAAAGCCCCCAGGTCCCTCGCCAGCGTCTCTGACTTCCCCGTCTCTGTTGCAAAGAGGATTGTGGCTCTGGCTCTGGATGCCATGGACTTGCGCATCAGGATTGAGGCAAAGAGCACGGCTCTGTAGGGACAGACAGACAGACACTGTGAGCTGAGGCTCTTCCAGAGGAAAATGGTGGCCGGGGAGAATGGACGGGGACAGCGTTTAAAATAAGGCAGGTTGAGGGATGAGTGACCCCTGCGTCTCAACAGTGACTATCGGCTCGTCTCCCCCCTTCCCCACTCAACCCCCACTCAGCTGATTGGGGAAATGCAGGGGAGAGAGCCCTGGGCCCATGGCAAAGGGGGTCCTCCCGCTGGTGGGAGTCAGACTCCACAGAGGACATCTTTCTCTTTGTTCCCTGCACTTCCAGTCCTTGAAGGGAGGCCGCAGGTCAGGTGGCAACACCGGCCACTCCCACTTACTTAACCAAGACTTTGAGCTGAATCTCTCTTTTCTGGGGTCTCCGTTTCTCGTCCTTCCACACATGGGTTTTCCAGGCATCCACCTTGAGAAAAGAAGGCAGATGTGAGGCAAGGTGGGGCCTGGCTCGGCTTGGCTGGGCAGAAGCAAGAGGCCATTTGTGTCCCCAGTTGGGGAATGTCCCCACTCCCGCCTCACAGAAGCCTCTGGGGGACCTTTGTGAGGGGGTGCGGTGGGGAGCAGTGTCTGTCTCCCCAGATTTACAGCTCCCGAATTGAGAGTCTGTACCTACAAGTGGTTGGTTACATTCTCATTAATGTCCCCCTGGAGCAAAGAGCTCCCCTTCTCTCTCGTTTTAGGTAGCTTACCACAAGGAAGACTATATAATATATAGTCAGATCTCAGATAGCTTTGGCAGTAAAAAGAACTATGACAACAGACACTAACCGATCAGGGATGACACCTTTAGAACAAGAAGACTTACCCCAAACCAAACCAAAATCCTTTCTGGTAAAATAAAAAAAAAAAAAAAAAAAAAAAGGAAGAACTTTTTTCAATAGGTCATGGTTACTAAGTACATTTTGTGTTGGTCACCAGCTCAGCCATTACATATATTCATCTCAAGGGAACCTCACAGCTCTTATCCTGTCATGGACTTAATGCCCATCCTTTTAGGGTTGGATGATAAATCAGGGCTCAGAGTATGAAATGCCCCACCCAAGAGCACACAGCAAAGATGTGACAGAATCACCCCCAGGTCTGTCCCTGTCATTGTTTACGGCCTTCTGGAAAGTTAAGCACAAAGGTGGTCACTCTCACAGCCTAAACCCATCAGGGAACTGGGTCATGCAAAGAAGAGGCACTTCCTTTAGTCCCACTCTCTGTGGAAATGGACAAAAGCTTGCTCAGCATCTGAATGAAATTTTAAAAGTGTACAGCGACCCTGACCCTCCCCCACATGTCCTGTAGGGGAGCGCGTGCACGGGGCACCCGCCAGCACATCACATGCACGCAAACCACCCCAACATGAGCACGCGTACTTCTCTCCCGTCCCGAGCCCCCAAGACAGAGAGGAGAGGAAGGCCCCTCATTCACCTGGTAGTAATAGAAAGGGGACAGGACGTAGTTAATCATTTCCTGGTGGAACACAGGGGTGATGCTCCCAGAGATCGGGGGGACCAGCCACACCCAGTCAGCCGGACAGCCTCCTCGGGTCCGATACTCGTTCTGCATGTACTTCATGAAGGACTCTGCAGCTGAGTGATGGTCCATGATGGTCACGTTTTGTTTCTAAATAAGAAGGCGTGTTTGACATAAGGGGTGAGGAAGAGGGTGGCCCGTGGCCTGCACGGTTCCCGGACGGACTGTGGGAAGGCTTGGCAATCTACAAGGTGGGAGACCTACTCCTCCTGGCTGCCTTCTCACTGACAACACCCACGTGAAAGGCACTTTCAGAGCCTCCGAAGGCGAGGCAGCCAAGGAGTCACTGCAGTCACGGCCAACCCACTGTCCCCCGGTGGCCTCCCCTTGGCTCTCTGGCCAGGACTAGAAGCCTCCCTGAACTCCCAACAAATGGCTTTCTGGAAGTTGATAAACTAAAGCTCAGTGCCTTTGGCCACTTGTTGAGAGCTCCAGGAGCCTTCTCCAAGGTTGTGGCTTTGTCTGCCAAGAAGGAACTAGACACCTATGAAGAGAACTGATGCCTCAGGGAAACCACAATTCACAGAAAAAAGGTCACCACCATGTTCCCTGTCCTAAAACTAGAAGCCAGCAGGTCTGAGTGTTCCTGCAATGACTCAGCAATGGAACTCACACCCCTCAATGTCTGGGTGACTCCTTAGGTCAAGCGACACCTGTTTCATATGGTCTCTTACTATGTGACCTGAGCTATCACACCCCCGAGCCTTATTTTCCTCATCTGTAAAATGGGATAACAAGCCCTACATCCTGGGGTTGATGAAAGACTGCAATGAGTTCATACAGGAAAACCAGGCCATGCTCATTCAGTCTGCTGCTATTACCACTTCTATCTGCCAGGCACTGAGGCTGGCACAGGTACCATAAAAGTGAAATAAATGGGCCCTCCCTGGTGGCGCAGCGGGTTAAAGCCTAGCACTGAGAATCTAAAGCTGCTTCCGCATGAGTTCGATTCCCACCTGTCCTGGAGGTGACCACATGGCGCGGCAGACCTCTCCTGACCCGCCCGCTGCTCCCCTCAGCAGTGTACTTTGTCGATCTGCCTGTTCTGTTCCCCACTCTGTCTCTGGTGAAGCCTCTCACCGCCCCTGAGCCTCTGGCCTGCACCCCAGTTCTGTATGCACAAATAAATAAATCTTTAAAAAAAAAAGTGAAATAAATGGCCTCTCCTTTCCATACAATGATGTTGTCACTCAGGGCGTCAGAGGAAAGCTAGCAAGGTTCACATGAGAGGAACATGGAGTGAGGGCAGAGGACGGGGCTTAGCAGAGGCAGAGGCCTGGAGAAAAGATGGGACTGGCAGAAGTGGCTTTTGAGCAGATGTGACTTGAGAAACAAGTCCAAGCTAGGTAAGGATGGGCACCCCAAAGAAGTCACAGCATGAGTCAGGGCTGGAAGCACATAAGAACCACTGGTGGAGGCCCAGAAGGCCTGTCACACCTTCTCAAATTTCATGGATACACACACAGCCACTCCCGGACGGACGCCAGCTAGTTCTAGGCTCAGGAGCTGAGGGTAAGGTGATAAAGACAGTAACCACAATAGGCAACAGGGAAGCTTCCTGAGTGCTCATGTGGGCAGGCGGCACAGGGAAACATTTGCCTACAAATTCATTTCATTCTTATAACAACCTTGCGAGGGAGGTAATATCGTTATCCTGTTTTACAGATAAGGGAAGAAGGCCAAATCTTTTGAAGTTTATCCTGAAGGAAGATGACAAGGAAGTGCTGGAGACTCGCGCAAAGGAGGGGCAGGGTGGGTGGTGAGGATTAGCAGCTTCTGGAAACACCCACATCCTGCATGGGTGTGGGGGGGGTTGCACATAGCCCCCGAGAGTCAGGAGGGGTAGTACAGGGCCACCGAACACTTCCCTGTCTCATCTTTGAACCTCACCAAGCAGAGAGTGACCTGCCAATGGGGTGACTGGCCCGGGGAACAGTATGTGAATGTATTACAGGGTGAGTGTTTAATGTCCAGTCTCCACTCCACAAGGAAAAGGACCGTGTCTCTTCTTCCCTCTCAGACCTTGAACATGTGCATCGAAAATGTGCAGTAAAACTTTGCCAAGGGAATGAGTGACACTGCCCTGCGTCCCACCTCCAGGGCATCTGCCAGCTTAGTGGCGATGTCCCAGTTTCTAAAGCAATGTCTTCACACATCTCAGGTTTCATTCCCAAAGGGAGAGGGAGTGATTATGTGAATAAGAGCAGCAGGTGACTCAGAGAGGGCTCAATCCCACACAGGAACTGCGCTTGTGTGCAAAGGGAAGGGCTTGTCTCTCAGAGACAAGCACCCCATTGGTGTGCTTGGGGGCCCACTGATTCACCCAGTACATTTGGGGGGAGTCTAATATGACCAACAAACTTCTAGACTCAGAGGTACAGCACTGAACAAGAGAGAGGCCACCGCCCCATGGAGCTCACAGGTTGGTGGAAAAACACAACAAAGAAAGAAAAATGTACTATTGAATGTCAGGCGCTAATTACAAAGTATTACAAAGAAAAATAAAAGCAGTTAAAGGAACGAGAGACAGGATGGTGGGGGTGGGGTGAGGGTGCCATTTTACATGGTGTGGTCAGGGATGGGACTCTGAGACAGGGGCAGATTGAGAACTGGGGGAGGGGAGGGGCCATGCAAGGGATGATCTGTGGGAAGAGTGCAAAGAGGGAAAGCACATGCAAAGGCCCTGTGGTGGGAACCATCTTGGTGAGGTTGAAGAGCACCAATCTTGATGGTTTCACTCATAGCAGGAGTATAAAGGTATAAAGGACCAGGGAAGGGGGGTAATAATAATGAACAACTATATACCAGAGACATTTTGTGGGGGTGGAGTGGGGAATGGGATCAAAAACGGTGGGGGGAAAGAAGTGCACTGGACTATGGTGATGGCACACGGGCGATTTGGTGATGGGAAGCCCAAAGGGATTACAACTGAGATGGAAAAAAGGCACAAAATGATGTAAACATAAATTATTATATTAGTAAAAAAAAAAAAAAAAGCAGCAATCTTGGGAGGCAAGGAGTAGCCTCTCGCTTAAAGCATTCAAGTTGACCTAAAGTGGGTGAGGGCTTATGTATCGCTGTCTCAGTAACACCCAGCACTGTGACTGGGTGTTCAACACCTATTTCACCTATTTGGTACATGACTAAATGGACAAGGTGTGAGGGGAAAATCAAACATGAGGTGCATGGTTGCACCAGATGACCTAACCGGAAAGCCTGCAGACTCACAAAACAACAGACACACCTGGAAACTGTGCAGCACGGCAACGTTGATCTCGATGACGGCCCTGTCTTTCCAGAGTGAGGCCAACTTGTGTGTTTCCAGGCCCATCCTCCTGCCCACTTCCTGCAGAAGCAGAGAAATGGGGTAAGGTGGACTTTGGGATCCCCATCCCTCCAGCCAGCTCAGCTGAATGGTCCCCATTACCTCCAGGATATTGTAGCGCTGAACATCACAGAAGTCCCGGACCCCGATCTCTGTGCCCATGTACCAGCCATTGAAGGGGCACGCCGGGAACTCAAGGCCACCCACTTCCAGCAGCATGTTGGCCACTGCAGGCAGGGCATACCACTTCAGCTCCAGCTCCTGGAACCACTCGTACCTGGTGGGGGGAGAGGGTTGGCTGCAATGAGAGCCTTCACTTTTGCCTTCCCTCCAAAAGCTTCAGAGCGAGTCAACAAAGAAAGCTTCTAACCAAGGCTTGATCGCTAAGGCCATCCCATCTGGAGAGGTGACTCGGGTGTGTTCATTTATTATGCATTCATTCCCTCATTTATTCATGGAAACATTTATTAAGCACCATGTCCTGTGAGAGACCCTGGGCTAGAGAGTCCAACACAGCCGTGAAGTACTCTACTGCCTCCCTGGTATTGTCATAGCCCCGTAAGTCTGGGGCCCGAGATGCAATGCAGAGTTGCTGTACCAGGTCACCAGGCCGGCCTTGAGGCCAGCCCTGCTGGGCATCATTTGATACCAACTGGACACTGGAGGAGGTGGTCCTGGCAGGCGCTGAGGATTGGATCTCACTTAAGAAAGGAGGGGGATCATGTTTATTGCTGCTTTATAATAGAAAAGACACAGAATCAACCCAAATGCCCAAAGTAGATGACTGGATTAAAAAGATGACAATGGAATATTACTCAGCAATCAAAAAAGATAAACACGTGCCTTCTGCAGCAACATGGATGGAGCTGGAAGGGATCAAGCTTAGTGAAATAAGCCAGAAAGAAAGAGAAAAATACCGGATGGTTTCACTCATAGCAGGAGCATAAAGGACCAGGGAGAGAAAATAATAATGATGATGATGATGATGATGATGAACAACTATATACCAGAGACATTTTATGGGGTGGAGTGGGGAATGGGATCAAAAACAGTGGGGGAGGGAAATGCACTCGACTATGGTGATGGCATACGGGTGATTTGGTGATGGGAATCCCACGGGGATTACAACTGAGATGGAAAAAGGCACAACATGATGTAAAAATACACTATTATATTATTTTAAAAATAATAAAAAAAGAAAAAAGAAAGAAAAGAGGGGTCATGTATGTTAACACACACTCCGGCACCCTCAGCCTACTTACTTAGGGTGCTCCATGGCCACCTCAAGCACCAGGTCAGGTGGGATTTCGAAGAGCTCAGGGTCTTGGCCATTGGCCTGCAGGACCAGTGGCACCACATCGAAGCGCCCGTATTTGGGCTTCCAGCCGAGGTCAATGCACAGCTGAGGGTAGGAGAGGCCCAGTGAGTTCACAGACCCAGGCACCTTAGCCCCTCTGGGCTCCACTCTGTCACCACATAGGGTGGATCCGGTACCTGGGTGAACTCCAAGCTGGCAGGGTCCCCTCTGATGGTGCCATCGGGCATGTGGTAGCCAGCGTACCGGATGAGTTGAGCATTCCAGACCCGGAAGTCATGCTTCCCATCACTCCGCTGGGGGAACACCGTGATGGCCGACCTGCCCCAATTCAAGGACAGTGCTGCTTACCACCTGCTCCTGTGGAAGCTCCCAGCCAGCCCCTCTGGGGCTCCCCCATTCAGCTCCTGCAGCACCCCAACATGCTAAGCTCTCACTGACCTTTGTATATAGCCTGCTGCCCTTAGTGACATACACGCCCCCTTCTTCATTTCCCTCAGCTCCTTCCTGTCCTCTAGGACCAGCACAGGTCCGTTAGGACCTCCCCTCCACGAGGGCCTCCCCACCTCTCAGGCAGGGTTAGCAAACCCTCCATAGCACGTCCCCTTGCTCATACCGCTCTCCTGGCAGCCAAGTTAGTTGGATACTTGACTAGTTCGTGACATGGGTTCAAGTAGGCTAGAAGCATCTTTGCGTCTTATTCGCCTCTGCATCCCTCCACCCCACTCCCATGCCTGTATTGGGTCCCCATGAATGTCTGTGAACAAGAAAAATGAATGAATAATTGAATGAGCCGTTCAGTCCTACCAGCTGTGACCCCCAGGGCTGGGGGCGGGAGAAAGTGAAGCAAGGTGAGAAGTGATTCTCTTATCTCTAAGACAAACACCATGCTGGGGTCATCTGCTGGAAAACCAGTCTCTTGCCCCTCAAGGAAACTTACTTTAGGGGTCCTAACTTCTTACCGAAGTTACTTCTTAAGCTTACCACCACCCCCTACAGATGGTTTCAACTAGAAGGAACCCAAGGAGCCGGACTAGTCAGGGCTCGCGACTAGGGTTCTCCAAAGAAGCCTGAGTCTTTCTCCTTTCTTTTCTCCCTGCTTTTTCCTGGATGCAGAGATGCCTTCCCAGCTGTCTCTTTTGGCCAAGACTGAGCACAGGGTGGCCCCCACCTCTCCTGTGGTCTCGGAGAGGGGTTGCACCTACCTGATGTTGCCATTGTTGGTGGAATATCGCATGTGTCGACAGATGTGCTCGAACATTTCCTTGGCAGTGGAACAGTTCCGGGCATCGAAGACCTGCACAGACACAGGTCAAGGATTGATCTGAAGCTAGAGTCACAGGGGACAGAGGGAGCAGCCCAAATCCCCTTCCCCAAAGCCCCGGGTAGAGGAGAGCAACCTCCTTGCTGCATAGACCTGGACCATCTCGCTCTTCCTGTGCTCTCCCAGAGGAGATCCTAGCAAAATCAAAAGCCTATGAAAACCGAATTTTTTTCTTTTCTTAAGATTTATTTATTCATACAGAATTGGGGCTACAGACCAGAGGTGCAGGGGTGGTGAGAGGATTCACCAGAGACAGAGCAGGAAACAGAACAGGCAGAGTGACGGTGTACAGGGAGCAGCAGGGGGGCCAGGAGAGGTCTGCCACGCCATATGGGTCACCCCCCAGGCTGGGGATCAAACTCGTACCGAAGCAGCTGCCACTAGCTTGCAGGGCTGCATCCTAACCTGTTGCGCCACCAGGGAGGGCCTAAGAAAACCTGATTTTCAAGGACCGTAAATCAAGATTCCCATAGCCCCAGTCTCGCTCCTGTACAAGCACCTTTCACACAGGGCTTCTAGCATTCTATTCTGATTAGAGTTGGTTCCCCTGGCCTGTATCTCATGGATTTGTCTGGGCAAGGACTTTCGCTACTATCCAACAAAAAGTAACATCCCAATGTAAAGATGACCTAAGCCTCTCAGGCAAAGAAATTACATTCAAAGAGCTAAGAGTTTAAATAAGTGAGTGTGAAAAAGAAAATGACAGGCCCCAAATGGAGGCATCTGTGCTAAGCCTACCAAATACCTAAACGAACTGCATTTCTGCCTCCCCACGAATGTCATGTTAACTGATCGGGATGGAATTTTCTAGGTAGAACATATGAAGTCATTTTTTCCATTCCCCAAACGATGAGATAATCTGCCACAAGATCCTTGTTATCCATTCTGTACATGTGGGTTATCTCAACCTGAAACATCCCCTCTTCTTTCATCTTTTCCGCTTGCCCTCTACAAGAACCTTTCATTCTTTGGCCCACCTTTCTAATTGCTAGGGAAGGAGCTGCCTGTTTCATGAATCATTTATCAAAGCCAATGAGATCTTGAGATCTTCAAAATTCACTCAGTTGCCCTCTTGTTATTTAACATGAGGGAACTAACTTCCCTGCAACACCAGGGTCTCAGTGACAATAACAAGAAGATTGTTTTTGATTTAATGTTGCTGTTTAGTCTCCCAAATCTGACATGAGAAAGGTCAGCAAGAAATCCTGGCACTGAAATCAGGTTCAGTTCTGAAGCCCCACTTTGTGTTCAGGAATGTGAAGAGAGAGCCTAGGGGTCCGGCTTCAGGCGGGGGCCCCCGGACACAATTCTGCTGGCTTGGGGGGCCACCTGCCTCTGGGCTGCCACCTCTAGCTTCCACCAGGGTCCGAGGAAGCCCACCTGTAAGTTGGACCACTGGATCCTGCCGATGCAGCGGGGGGCGTTACGCCAGGCCTGCTTGGTGGCGTAGATGAGCTCATCTCCCGTCAGCTGGTAGGTTCCTGTTGTTTCTATCTCCTTTGTTACCGCTTCCACCCTGGCCAGATGTTCCTCTATTTTTGCCCTGGTGGACAGGAAGACATCAGGAAGATCAACAATGAGAAGGTCTTAACTGGGGGTTGATTCAATCCCCAGAAGCAGGAACTGAAATAGGACACCAGGCGGGCATGAGGTCTCCACAGAGACTCTCTCCTCCAGGGCCAGTTTCACTGGTGTGTGACCAGGTTACGGCAGGGCTTAACACTCTGCCATGACTGTCTCGAATTGCCCACTCGTTTCTGGACAGTCTGCCCCTCACCTTTACATAGCCTGAAAGAGGTGACATGACTGGCTCTGAGCTCTGTGTTCCCAGCGGCTTTTTCTGTGCTCAGAGTCATCTCAGTTTGGTGGGCACACACAAGGGGCATGGAAACCCCTCGGTACTTCCTTACCCCAGAGGAGCCTCCTGGCCAGGGGCACCTGTCCACCTCCCTACAGGAAACAAATGAGCCCATCCCTCCCACGGCAATGTATGTGCCACTATGAGCCAGATGCTGGACACAGCCAGTCTCAGTCGAGGCCTCACTGAGTCTGTGACCAGGTTATAGTCCAGGTACTGAAGCTTTAGGTACCTGGAGGCCCAGGAGGTTAAGTTTCAAGCTTGGGATATGATGTCATGAACAGCGAGGTCCAGACTCTCAGACTTGGGCCACCCTGGTGCCAGAGTTAGGTTCTCTGCCGTCCACCTGACCCTACAGGGGAATTCAAACCTGGAGATGTCCAGGGCCTGCCCACAATTCCCTAGTCAGGCCTGGACAGGGACAGCTTCTCATGCCTCATCCTGCAGGGCCCCGGGGCCTGCTCGGAGGAGCCCTACATATCAGGGTCTGACATGGGATTTCTGCCGGGCTCCACCAGCCAGCCATATGGTGTCGCTAAGTCATCTTCTCCCCTCCCCTCTCAGACTTCAAAAATATCTCACAGTGAAGGATTCAGAAAAGCTTTGAAACACATACACATGTAGCCACTCAAGCACACACAAAGGCGCACGCACACACACACACACACACACACGCTCAGCAACCTTGAGATTTCCAATCAGCACCAAAGACATTTGAAATGGCAACAAACAAAACTATTTAAGGAATGAACTGATTAAGGAGAGTGGACAACTCCAAACAAATGGCCTTTCTGTGGGTGAAGAGTGCCTCCAACTTTTCCTAGATTAAAGAAAAAAGGCACAAAGACAAAACACTTGGCACTATCTTCAAGGACACTCTTGGCACAAGGATTTGCTGCATGATGGTTGCTGTCCGCCCTCCCCAGTCCTCCTTCCCTAACAAAGCTTGTAGCCATACCTCCAACACCCCTCATCCAACGTGCAAACAGCTGCCATCACCAAAACACCCACGCCTCACACACACACTTGGTCCTAACACGTGTCTATTATAAGAAAGGAGTATTTTTTACATCTTCACCCAGTTCCTGTAAAGTTTTACATTTTACCACTCTTTTCTGTTAGTCACATTTCTGAGGCTCTAAAAATGCTAAAATGCCTATTAGTTCTGAAAAAAGAGAACTTGGCATCAGCAAGCTAGATCTGAACTTAACATTCGGCAATTTACAATTTCTAACTATAGATCCTTCATTCAGAAGACAATGGAACCCACCTGGCTTTCATGACTTTGGCCACTAGTAGAACTGTGGGGGTGAATTGCCACTTGCTTTTCTCAAGCCTCACCTCTCAGGGAGCCGCAGGTATGAGACTATATCCCAGGTATTGTGACCGCAAGAACAGAACGTCCCTCTAAAAGAAGCCACTGGGCTTGAACAGGCCACAAAGAGCCGCTCTATAGCCTTCAGGGCTAACATCTGTCCAACTGCGTTCCAAATACCAGCAGGATCTTCCAGGTCCAGAATGGAATGTGGGGCTTGAATGTGGACTTAAAAGCTAGTGCTCTCTGTCCATCTGCCTTCAATACCAAGAGATGGGACTCCAGACGGTCTGCACTGACCAAGTTGCACTGCTGCAAGAGACATCTGCTCTGGCAGGTCCCCTTGTTACTATTCCTTGTTGCTAATATGTCGAATCCAGTGTCATTAAGTTACAGGTCAAAAACAAGCTTAAAACAAGCCCTGAGAGCTGACTACAGAACTGAAGCATCAAAGGCAGAAGAGGGTGGGGAGGAGTGAGAGCAGAGGGAAGGGAGCGTGGCGGACTATGGTGCAATGCAGGGAGACGCAGGGTCATTTGGTGGTCAGCTACGGCGGTGATACCTGAGGGGGCATCTAAATAAATACATTAAAGAGGAAGGTGGGGAGGATGATGACACTAATCTCACAGAGCTGTGACGAGCAGTATGTTCAAGGCACTCACGCAGGACCCGACATGTACTTAGCATCAGCAAATGTGAGCATTGAGAGTGGCCCGCTGAAGCCCATCAAGAAAAAGAAAAATACCAGATGGTTTCGCTCATTGCAGGAGCGTAAGGGATCGGGGTGGGGGTGGGGGAAGCGACTGTAATAAAGAAAAAAATGGAAGACCACAAACAACTATATAGCAGAAACATTTTACGGGGGGTGGGGAGGGGAATAGGATCAGAAAATGGTGGGTGGGGGGACGGTGTATGGGACTACGGTGATGGCACATGGGTGAAATGGTGGTGGGAAGTCCACAGGGATCACCACAAGATGGAAAAATGAACAAAATGAAGAATGCTATAAAAATGAATGAATGAATGAATACGAAAGTTCTGGGACCTCAAAAGATTCATTAGTCAACAACAGAGCTGAAAGTCCAAGGGTGCTAAGCCTCCCAGTCACAGAGCACTTCTGCAGAGGCTCTAGTACCAACAGCAAGCACAGGAGAAGACTCCCCAAGCCCCCACAGGGGTCTCAATCATGCATTTAAGATGTCTGCCACCTCCCCCCTTCCCAAGATTCTGACACTCAAGCCCAGAGAACTCAGGCATGAGTGTCCATAGTACAGGATCTGGCGTCACAGGAGTCACTATTTCTGCCACAGTGCCCCAGCTGCACGGCTGTGGCTCACTCCAGGCAGGGAAGGGTCCCATGCCGCTGCAAAACAAAAGCCACACTCCCCACCAGCCCACAAGTCAGCAATCCAAGCCCTTGGCCCATCTGTCTTACAATCCCTTGGTGAATTTTTATTATTTTAAAGTCTGAAAGGGACCTAAGTTCATAGCCATTTATTTATGAAGCCTGGGCATATAGACCCCCACAGAGTTCAGAGCAAAGAGCACAGGCCAGTAGTTTCCAAGTCGGGCAGACTGCATCCCAGCTAGGGCTGGGCAACCCCAGGAATGTCACTGTGCTTCCTCATTCATACCTGTAGGGGGAGGGGCTCTGGTAGGTGGTCTCAAAGGTCTTCTCTATCTCAAACATTTCATAATCAGAGGGTTCACATTAATTATAATCAAGGTCACCATGTACCTGTTCTAAACTTACGTACTCTTCATGACAATCTTATGAGTCAGGGTCTATTTTTACTCCCATTTTACAGACTAGGAAGTTGAAGCACAGAGAGGGTAATGGATTTTCCGAGGACAATCTGAGTTACATTCCCAAATCCCACTTTAGCCTCTATTTTATACCTGTTGGTTTCATGAGAAGCTACTCTGGAGTTTTTCCCCTCAAAAATTATATTTTATCCCGAGATCCTCTAGGATTCTGGGAAGAAAAGGGATCTGGGGAACATGAGCAGAGGGGGGGAAACTCAGGAGAAGGGAGGAAGAAACACCCCTACAGGAAGTGAGCCTTACTCTTTGAAGGAGCCGTAATACTGGTTGACAAATTCAATAGCTTGAGGTAGAAGTTCGTCTGGGGAGGTAGGCTTGTCCCTGGGTCTGTTGACCAAGCTTTGGGGGTTCATGATGGCTCCCAAGCAAGTCTTAGACTTGCAAGCGAGATCCTGGAAAGAGAGAGGAAGATGGAGAGGTAGGCTGGTTGGTCTCTTGGCGCGGGAGTGAGGGCCTCCTCTAGGCCAGCTTTCACGGCCACCTCCTTCTGCTCTGCCCCAGCTCCCGGCCATACCTCCCCACCCCTGTAGCTCCTCTCCCTTGGGATCCACTGGCTTTCTCCCCATCCAGTTCCCCTCTCCTCTACTGACTGGACTCAGAAGGAAGAGAGCAAGGGCTTCTTCCTCCACCCTAGGGTTCAGTCTCTGGTTTTGCTCCCTAGCCCTAAACTCAGAGCTAAATCAAAGCTTGATCCTTGGGAACCTCTCAACCACCTTCTCATTTAAAGAGATGGGTGGCCCTAGGGGGTATACTATCTGGTTTTCAGCTATCGTGAATTGAAATGAGAGGATGAAAATCCCAAAGGCAGAGGAAAGCATAGAAAAAATACTGGGAGTACACCCAAATGTTAAATGTGGTGATTTCGCGAGGTGTGGAAAATCATTCTATTTTCAGGGTCTTGAATTTTTTCAATTCTTTCCCACTTTATAATCATGAAATGTCTGCTAAAGTTAGATTAAGAAACCTAGAAGATAAGGAGTCTTAAAGGACAACTACTCCAAGTACTCACTGGATGCTTGAACCCCTCCGGTCTAGCACTTTTGTGCTTCAAGGGACAGGGAGATCACTACCTCCAATCTAGTTGAGTTTTGGGCAGTTCTGTTAGGAAAGTCTCCTGATACTATGCTGCAATACTTCTTAGAAAGAAATGATCTGTGCCCCTCCCTGGTATACAACGGTTAAAGCACAGTGCTATGGAGTTGTCCACAGCCACTGCAGCATGGGTCCAATCCCCAGCCAGGGAGGTGACCCACATGGCGCAGCAGACCTCTGCTGTCCCTCTCGCTGCTCCCCTCAGCAGTGTATGTCAGTAGATCTGCCTGTTCTGCTCCCCTCTCTTTCTCTGGTTGGCGCTCTCATCTCCTGCACCTCTAGCCTGTACCCCAGTTTTTGCATGAATAAATAAATAATTTTTTTAAAAAAGAACTGATTTGTTCCAGCACATTTTCTGGTTTATCCAGTAGCTCTTGGGGTTGGGGTTTGCTCAACAGAGAGTTGGCACCCTCTCCTTCCTATCATAATTTGTGAGAAACATGGTACACCCAGTAAATACCCTTTGCCAAGCAGATGGCTATCTGGTCTGCCCAGGGCGGGGTGGGGGGAGGACAATCTTTATGACCCACTAAAGGCCCAAATGGTTTCTCTGGCTTGGGACAAAAATAGTTCTCCATGATGGCCCAGACTTCTCACCCCTTTGGCTTTGTGGTAAAGTGTATCTTGGAAACTGGTCCCATTGCCCCAATTTTTGATCTTCACATGGTGTTGGCAGGATGATGGGGGCATCTTTGGTTTGTCCAGGGGTTCTGGAGACTTCTAAGAGGAAGGAAAACCACAGATTTTCAAATGCCTCCAATCCCAGGAACCCACAGGTCTCTCCTAGGTCCCTAGGCCCTCCTGCTTTGACCTGGGCAGGGTAGGGAGTTCTGGGTGGGTATATAGGTCAGGGTGTTCATCCATGTCCCTCCCTCCTTCCTGAAAGTTTGGTCACCTGGGCCAGTGCCTGCTGAGAGTTCCAGGTGCCTGGGACACTGGCCAGGCTTCCCTTCTCACCCAGAGCCTTGCCAAATGCTTTCTCACAGAAATTGCAACCGGAGAGCCTAAAGTTAGTCACCAGGGAGACTACTGTCACCATCAGTACTGCCTTCCACAGAGGATTGCAGAATACGGTAATTGCCTTCCCTCCCCCTCACCCAATTCTCTGCCCACCTCTCCGAAACACTTTGGTCCAAAGCACTCAGGGAAGATGGAGCCCAGAGGATGGGGCGGGAGCAGAGCCTGAAGCCTCAGCTGCTGAGTCTGGGGTTACTCTGGAGTGCTCTACTCCTGGCTCCTGGCTCCAGCCCACACAGGCACGTCATCCAGGAGCTGATACACCTTGGGCACCAGCCCTGACCACTATGGATCATCCTGCTCCCCCAAAGTTCTTCCTCACCGCCACCTGTGCCCCCAGTCTCCACTCACTGCCCAGACCCCAGCTGCCACCTCTCTGGGCAATGGTGGAAGGGGCTTCCCACACCAAGTGACTCACTGACCTTTGCAATCTGTGTGAGGGGGCGGGGAGGCTCATCGTCATGCTTGCTGGAGCTGTGACACTTGGGGTCATCCTGTGTCACTGGACTGTGAAAGGAAACAGCTATCATGAGTTGGAGTATCTGAGGACAGAGCGGGATCTTGGAGTCCCCGCCGCCAAACCCTCGTTTGATGGATGGGGGGGTCTCAGGGTAGAGGTGGGGTGATTTCTTGTTTCCAGTTAAGGGGGGTGTGTGCATGTGATGGGAGGCAGCTGGTCAGATACGCTCTCCATTTCACCACCACCACCCCCAACCCCACCTCTCCCCCTCTCAAAGCCAACAAGACGCTGGGGAGCTGAGACAAAGCTAGTAGCCAAAGATGACCCACAGAAACTCTGGAAACAGCCCCTCACCGCCCCCCGCCCCCCAGAGTAGAATATGAGCATGGCACAGGGCTGTGGGCGGAGCCTGGCTCTTTCGACTCTGCTCTACCCACCACCCACGCACTTTTAGGGAACTTAAGCTTTTTTGTTTAAAGCACTTGATTTATCTTGGTGTATTTACTCATTCTAAGATGCTTTACTATGGAAAGTGCTAAATATACAGAAACAGTGGACCAGTGTAATGAGCCCCAGTGGGCCCTGCACCCAAGTTCAACCTCAATTCAACAATATCAATCCATTGTCAAAACTGTTTCAACTCTTCTCTCCCAGCCCCCATTTTATTTATTTATTTTAAACATTTATCTTATTTATTTATGCACACAAGAACTGGGATCTAGGCCAGATGTGCGGGGAGTGAGAAGATTTACCAGGGACAGAGTAGTAGCAGAACAGGCAGATCTACTGAAATACACTACTGAGAGGAGCAGGAGAGGTCTGCTGCGCCATGTGGGTCACCTCCCTGGCCGGGGATCGAACCCGTGCTGCGGTGGCTGCGGATAGGTTCATAGTGCTCCCATTGCGCCACCAGGGAGGCCTTCCTGCCACAGTTTAAAGCAAGCGAGACATCCTGTCATCTGGAAATGTCTAAGTATTTCTGGAAAATAAGAACTCTTTAAAAATAATATTAGTTGCATTTATTTTAAAAGGATAGATTTAAGATTGCAGACACGCTTTTCAAGAGGTAAAAGATCTACTAGTCTGAAATCATTCAGAAACTTGTGGTTCTTGTTCGGAGTTTCAGGTTCGCTCTGCTGGCACATGCTTTAAGGAACAGAAGACAGCTGAGCCCTCTCAGCTGCGAATGCTGAACACGCCACACAAACCCTTCTTGGGCATCTGAATTTGTTGTCTTGTGTGGGAGCATGTGAATGTACACCAAGGGAAAAGAGGGCCAGAGGTGCTCTCATTTCTCACTTTATACATGTCTATGATCTTGGGCTTTGTATTGTTGTCATTATTGGAAAAATTATTGAGCATATATCTATAATAGCATTATACAATCAATGACATATATGATATAGTAACATTATGAGATTTTGAATTCTAAAGAGATAATGTCCCATGAAGAGAACAAATATATGCCAGTCACAGCAATATGGATGGAACTGGAAGGTATTATGCTCAGGGAAACAAGCCAGAAGGGAAAGGAAAATATTAGATGGTTTCACTTCTAGGAGGAATGTAGAGAAACCAAATAAGGGACCAGGAAAAAAAATCATTATAGTAAATTGAAAAACAAAATTAACAGCAACTATTAATCAGAGACACTTTGTGGGGGAGGGGGAGGGAGAGGGTGAAAGCAGGGGTGGGGTGGGGCGGGGATATGTTCTTACACAAGGGACTACGGGGATGGTGCACAGGTGCATTGGTGATGGGAACTTGGCGGGGACTGCACCTGAGAGGGGAAAGCACGCATTGTACTAAAAGGAAGAACAATGTGTGTGTGTGTGTGTGTGATATATATTATATATATATATATATATATACATATACATATGTGTGTAATATATATTATACATAGTGTATATATATTATACACACACATATATACACACATACATATAATTAAATTAAATTATAAAAAAAGAGAACATACAGAGATGTATGTATCAGAAAGCAATTTCTCTATCAATCAGGCACCCTCCATGTGACTGACCTTCCTCACCCCTCTGGCCTAGACTGGTGTGTACCATCAAAAACAAAGCCAATATGGCCCTCCCTGGTGGCACAATGGGTTAGGATGCAGCACTGCAAGTGAGCCGCAGCTGCTTCAGTGTGAGTTCGATCCCCACCCAGGAAGTGACCCACATGGTGCGGCAGACCTCTCCTGACTCACCCGCTGCTCCCCTCAGCAGTGTACTTGTTGATCTGCCTTTTCTGCTCCCCACTCTGTCTCTGGTGAATCCTTTCACTGCCCCTGCGCCTCTGGCTTGTACCCCAGCTCTGTATGCATAAATAAATAAATCTTTTTTTTAGACAACTTAAAAAAAAAGAAAAAGCCAATACCAGGTAACGTAGACCCCCAGAACAACAAAGCCACGCCAAGGAGTCATCATGGGGCGCTTAACGGGCCCCTGACTCGGGGCCTCAGGGAAGAGGCTACTTTTCACATCATCCGGCACCCCAACCTCACCCTATTGGTTCTTGCCTCCTCTCACTCTGGCCACAGAACTGGAGAATATAAGCAACTTATGGGTCCGCATGACCATTTACTTTGAGAAACAATGATGTTGTACATTTAACATAGTTATTGCCCCCCAAATACTAAAAAGCCTTCCAGCAATCCACTGCCTAGATGGACCGTGTTAGTTTGACCTTATCACCTCTGGTTGGTATTTTAGGTTGTGTCCAGCTCCTCCGCTATTATAAATAATGCCCCAGGCTGTATACATAGTCAGATGCTGGTTGTGTGTGTACACAGCACAGGAAAACAGCCAGGGGCATGCCAGCGAGTACAAACAGTGATGGGCATTAGATGAGGACACACAGGAGATGAGAGTTTTTCTCTGTACTTTCTGCATTTTCTAACTTCTTACAATGACCATGAATTCCTTTCATAGTTGGGGGGGGCAGGAGGGGATTATCTTGAAAAATGAATACACAAAGCTAAGCACAGTCCCTTTCTTCCATACTGACTGGATTTCACAGTGATGTGCTGGGAGCAAACGTGGCCAGAAACCAGGCAGGCATATTAAGGATCTGGGTTACTTATGGCTAAATTATTACATCTTCTGTCCAAACACTGCTGCAGTTTTGGCTAAACCCACAACTGGGCAGGATCCCGCCTGCTCCCTGACGGGAAGGGAAGGGAGGTCCCTTACCCACAGGCGCCCAGGAGGGCTGGAGTGTGGTGCTTGCTTAGACACAGAACTACCCACAAGCCCTGGGCTGAGGAGGCGCCCCTCGGCGCTGGAGATGTGTCTGTGGTTTATTTGAGGGTCAAGTTGGGGTCCTGCTGATACTCCTGGGGTTCCCTTTTTCCTCATTAGGCCATCTCTGCAAACAAAGCCAAGAGAGGAGGCACGAGATGCAGCTCTGCGAACTGAATCTTACTTGCAACACAAGAACCTCGCTGCCCTCTTAACCATATCTGTCCTAGAGTGTAGTGGATGCAGTGAAACATCTGGAAGCTTCCAAGTGCCGAAACACCCATGCACATGGGGCATCTCTTGGTCGTTGGAGGCTACTGAAGTGCAAACTCTTACCACTCTAAAAGGAGAAAATGCTTTAAGCGAAAGCCTCCCTGGAATCCCACAGAGGGATGTTCCAGCCCTCACCTATTCACGGAAACCGAAGCCAAGTGGCGCCAGGGTCGGAGCGGCGTCCCGCATGGCCACCCGCTTCCCCCCAGCGCGAACTCCGGCCCGGAGCGAGTACCTGGCTCCGCAGGGGCCGCAGGCGGGTTTCGACCGGAGGATCCTGCGAAGCAGCCAACAGAGGCGGGGGCGGGCGGCCTCGCACGCGGCGCTCAGCCCGTCGCGCATGGCCCCCGCCTGGCGCAGCTTTCTGGGCGCCCCGTCCGTGCGGCGCCCGCGCTTTTATCAGCCCCCGCCCCGGGGCGGGGCGAGCCTGGGTGGTGGAGGGCTCCCGGCTTTTACTTTAAGCGTGCGGCGCCGGGCGCCCGCCAGACCCCGCCTCAGCCTTCCAAGTTGTCCTGTAACCTACGTAGCTCTCTGCTGCACCCTCGTTTATAAAACTCTTTAACTTCCCGAGCGTGGCTCTTGGTGCTTCGTGTATTCCTCCCCAAATGTGGGAGCAGAGCATCAGAATTCTCTGTTCCCTTGACTGCCAGAACTGGGTCTTTCCCCCCACGCTGTTCTTTTCTTTTTTCTTTTTTTTTTTTTTAAAGATTTATTTATTTGTGCATACAGAACTGGGGTACAGGCCAGAGGCTCAGGGGTGGCGAGAGGCTTCACCAGAGACAGAGTGGGGAGCAGAACAGGCAGATCGACAAAGTACACTGCTGAGGGGAGCAGCGGGCGGGTCAGGAGAGGTCTGCCTCGCCATGTGGTCTCCTCTGGGGCAGGTGGGGATCGAACTCATGCGGAAGCGGCTTTAGCTTCTCAGTGCTGCGCTTTAACCCGCTGAGCCACCAGGGAGGGCCCGCTGTTCTTTTCTTAATCCAACACATAGTAAGCCTTCAAGGAGAGCCCAGATAATGTACAAGTTACCACGAGCTTGGATTCAGGTGAGCTGCTCTCAGCAAACTATTGTTATAATGGACTGGCGTATGTCGGACCAAAAGGGTGGAGCCAACCTAGCAGTTTTGAGCCAGACCGCCTGGTTTGTCTATCATTTACCAACTGTGACATCTTAAACTGAAACTCTCTAAACTTCTGTGTTCTCTGCACTACAGTGGGAGGGTAACAAAAACTTTTGGATTATTGAGAGGGTGAGATGAAATTATTATGTGATCATTCTTCTCTTAATATATGATTTAAGCACTTGTACCAACCTACCTTGGCTTAAAAAGAAGGGTTCACAAAAATAATAATAATAATAAACGCATGCCTTTTGCAGCAACATGGATGGAGCTGGAAAAGATCGTGTTTAGTGAAATAAGCCAGAAAGAAAAGGAAAAATACCGATGGTTTTACTCATAGCAAGACTTTAAAGGACCAGGGGAGAAAATAAAAATAATAATGAACAACTACATACCAGAGACATTTTACGGGGGTGGAGTGGGGAATGGGATCAAAAAAGGTGGGGAGGGAGGGCACTAGACGATGGTGATGGCATACGGGTGATTTGGTGATGGGAAGCCCAAGGGGATTGCAACTGAGCTGGAAAAAGGCACACAATGATGTAAAAATAAACTATTATATTACTTATTTAAAAAAAAAAAGAGGGTTCACCAGTAGGCTTGCCTCAAGTCACCCTACAGTTCAGGGACCCACCTAGAGTCTGAGCTCAGGCCTGAATGACCTCAAAACACAAGCAAGAAATAGCTGCCAGTGCCTTCAAAGGTGAGGGATTCGGGGCTAAAGGTCACAACGTAAGTGGCTGGTTTCAAATGTTCTCCCCTTCAGTCCAGCCCACATCCCACACTGGAAATGTCCTGCTCAAGATTTGACAGCAGCTCCCCACTGCCAAGCTGAGCAAGGCCAGCCGCCCAGACTGTATTCAACCCCTCTGTCCCCTGACCTCAGTTATCCACCCCAGCCCCAGGCAGCAAGTCATGCTTCTGTCTCTTGAGTCTCCCCACCCTGGGAAGTCCTCCCTACTTCTCTTCACCTCCCCACTTGCTCCCCACTTTTCCAAGATCACCAACTCCTGTGAGGCTCTTGGAGAGGACTCTAAACACTACTGACCGGTACCAGCTGTCACAACAACAGCAGGCAGCTACTGCAGATGTCATCTATTGAGCTCTTGCTCGTTACCATGCACGGTGCTAAGTTCTTTTCACATATGAAAACTCATTTAACACTTACCACAACTCCGAAAATTAGGCATTACTAACCCCTTCTTACAGATACGGACAGCCTCAGTTTTCTTATTGCAGAGATATAGGAAAAATAATAAGGAAACTGAGGCTCGATTTTGCTATCATAAGCCTCTAATTAGGCTCCTCGATGGCCCAAGATCTCAGGGGCAAAGTGGTAATGTTACCTGCTTATCCCCAAATCCATGCTCTTATATAAACATGCCCATGGTTAAATATGCTTTTCTGCCACCTGACAGGTACAAAGTTGCTACCACCGCTAGGGGGTGCCCTTCCCACAGTAGTCCTTGGAAAAAGCTCCTCTGGGGCTGTGGGTCTGTGATGCAGGCAGTCCCTGGTAGACCAGCCTGTGATTTGATTCATGCTTTGATGTTATTTCAGATGAATTTGTCTGGAGCAAGCCTCTACCACCCTGTGCAAAGCTATGAACTCTTCTGGCATGCTCTAGAAGCCTGGTTGGTTGCCTGACTAACTAACCTCGCTCAGTTCTGCCTCGGACTTCGTCCTACATGCAAGAGTTGGGGGACGTATAGAACCCAAATTGAAGCTCAAATTCCAACTCTAATTGTGTTAAGTTGTGTGACCTGGGAAAATCAGCCCTCTCTGAGAGCTTCTGTTTTCTCATTCTGTAGAGTAAGATAAATTGTGCTTCACAGAGCCGCTGCAGAGATCACATGTTACACAAGTGAAGTCCTGTGTAAACCTGGCATGGGCCAGGAAATTAAAATAAGCCCATTCAGCCAGGGTTTCCCCGCACTCTTTCATGTCCTCCTTAACTGCGATGAGGCGGGTCCTGCTAGTGTTCTCATACTGCTAATAAGGGAAGGGGAGGCTCAGAGACTCACTTACCCTTGTCTCCCAACCAGACAAGGGTCAGCGGGGTAGCACAGAACTGGATGCCATCCATTTGCCTGACCTCCTGGCACTCTTCACCAGGAAGGTATTCCGAATGCCTAACAGGGGGTGGAGACACCGGCCCTGCAGTGCAGAACAGGCCTCGACCAGGAGGTGGCCTAGGCTCCAGTCACGGGGACCTATGCACCCCATCCTCAAGCCAGGTCGATGCTCCTGGAGGACGAGGACAGGGCCACTTCCCTTCCTCTCCACATGGTGTCAGGTGCAAAACACAGATGCTGTATCGAATTCCAAATAGACATCCAAGAAGCAACTGAGAGATGGGACCTCAGATCTCAGAGCCGGAAACAGAGAGAGGAATTCTGAGTCAGGGGGTGCTGACTCAGAGGGAGGAACGGAAGCTGAGAGGAGACAAGCAGCAAGGAAGAGCTTACCTGGAGAGAGTCTGGAAGGATTTCCCCATATTATTGTTGATATCTGCTCCACCAGACAAATCATATTGGTTGGACTTGGCCTTGAACAGAAACTTCCATGGACAGGCCATCTCTGTGACTTTGCAAGTCAGGTGACTTCTCTGGATTTAAACGCAAGGGTTCCTCACTGAGGGTGGGAAGGGGAAAGAGGTTGTGAGGGAAGGTTGAAGACAAGTTTACAGAACTGGACTCAATATGGTTAGTTGAGTAAAGAAACTACATTTGAACTAAAGGCCAGTGAATGATTAACTATGGCCAGGGAAGAACGGATAGGTAAATCGGGGAAAGGAGACAGTTGTATGGTGAAGGAGAGGTTTGGACTTTCAGTGGTTAACTTAATCACGAGTTAATTCTCAATGATGCACGACAGAAGCGTTTATGGTGTTACCATGCAATGTTAATTCAATTTAAAACATGTTTAAAATAGAAACAATGTTAAGTCTTGAACAGCCACTTCATCAATGCTTTGCAATCTGTTCCTACATTTGGGTTGGACTGGGGGACATAGTAGAAACCGAGACACAGGCTTTAATTCCACAAAGGCACATAACAATCTAAAGGAAAAACACTGCACCTGTCACTCAGTGAGGGCAAGGTACCCACCCTGTGGGCCTCCTTAATGGGACCTGTGGGCTACCTGAGCCAGGTAAGCATGGCCAACACTGAGGCAGTGTTGTGGGGAGTCAGGTGGTCACTGAAACATGGGTGACTTTGCCTGACTGGAAAGATCTTTTCCAGCAGCTCTAACTAGCAACTGTCATCTGCTCATCCTTGAGGAAAGTGCTAGAGTTGTAGCTGCCTTTCTTTTTAAGATTTTACAACTGCCAATGCTACCACCTGCTCCTTTCATATTATTCAGGGAGGAAATAATCATTTACAAAAAAGCACACTCAGCTCTCAATATTTGAAACCCTTGCTTTTGAAAAAAAAGAGAGAGATTTAAGGGGAGGCCCACATCTTGTCTGGGGTCTCCCAGCATAGTGCTTTCTGGGGAAGCCCCTATATTGGGAGGCAGTGAGGTGATATCCCCAATGGAGGAATCTAACAGCCCCTTAAACACAGGTTCCAATCCTGCCTCTCCTTATTTACATGACCTGGATCAAGCGATTTTACTGAGATTTGTGTCTTCATTCATAAAATACACTTAGGGATACTCCTCTTAACAGAATTTGTTTGGAAGAGGAGAGTTGTGTGTGTTATAAGGACTGCATAGAATAATAATCTATTTAATAACAATTCTGAGATGAGCCCCACTTTCCATTTTGAATTTTCTTAAAAGTTTTTCCTTGGGACCAGGGGAGAAAATAATAATAATGAACAACTATATACCAGAGACATTTTACGGGGGTTGAGTGGGGAATGGGATCAAAAACAGTCAGGGGAGGGAAATGTACTGTACTATGGTGATGGCACAGGGTGATTTGGTGATGGGAAGCCCATGGAGATTACAACCAAGATGGAAAAAGGCACAAAATGATGTAAAAATAAACTATTATTTAAAATATATACACACACACACAGATAAGAGCAACATTTAAGGCAAAAAAAAAAGTTTTTTCCTTGAAGGGGGGGTTGGGAGGGGGAATAATAATAATGAACAACTATAGTCATTTTAAGGGGATAGAGTGAGGAATGGGATGAAAAATGGGGGGCTGGGGGTGGAGGGAGTACACGGGTCTATGGTGATGGCACACCATAGTGTGATTTGGTGATGGGAAGTCCATGGGGAATACAACTGAGATGGGAAAAGTCACCAAATTGTGTAAAAATCAACTATTATAATACAATTCAATACAATAAAAGTTTTTCCTTGAAATGTATCAACCACAGCATATGTATAGGGAAGACAGCTGAACAAGAGGCATTACTCAGATGGCTGAACCTCATGTGGACATTGCTGAAATTTTCCACCATTTTATTCATCAAAGCCAAAAATCCCCACCATTTTCTGAAGCTCCCCAAGTGGGAAGAATCAAGCCCCTCTCAAAACAGAGGCTCCCCAGAAATGAAGACAACTCACCTCACAGCTGGTTGCACTGTCTCTGTAGGCACAGACGAGCCAGATGTGGGGAAAGCTGCACCTTGACACCTTCGGGATCTTCTACACTTGCCCAGTTCCCTTACCAGGAGCAGGCCAAGAAATTGCAAACCAGTGATTCTGAGTTCTGTGGGGCCAGAGAACCTCAGACTGTGAGGTTCACACTGGCACCAGAAATTATTTATACTCGCCCCATGCCATCAGGGGGAGGGGGGCTTGCATAAGCTTTCTAAAGGGAGTGCCCAGGCTGGTGCACAGTTAGCTAATCTCTGACTGGGCCCCTGGATGTGGGTGAGTTAATAATCTTGCTGTTTCATCACTGGCATGCTGCATCCTCAGTCCAACCATCTCTTCCTGGTTCCAGGTTCAAGGCATCAAAAGTTCATTAGCAGGGTGGCCATCTGATAAAGAGTCATCACAGAGTTGGGTTTCTGTTAGCCACGCTGCATGTTCACGTCTGAGGGATTTATGTTCCTCCAAGGGGAGCAGGCGGGTAATTCCTGTCTATCCTTTCTGTTTTCCAGTTTGTGGCAGAAGTCCAGGAAGCTTGGGAATATTGACACTATGGAACACTGGAAAGTGCCCAACTCATGGAAGCCCAGTGATGCTGGGTGGTTCCATTTTTCCAAATTGCTGAAATATCCAAGTTGAGGTTTCTGGAAAGGATGAGAAAGAAAGCTGGTGGCCCAAAGATGTTGATGTCACCAAGGTCTCAGGCTTCAAAGATGACAGGACAGCAGGTAGGATTATTTTCTGTAGGGAAAATAGTGTTTTGCTTATAACAATTATGTTGTGTGGAAAATTAGGAACTATGATAATTCCATTTATTATTGTGCTTCCTATACAGTATTCCTATATGGTATGAATTATTCCATTATACACATAACACCAACAGTGAAAGAGTTGGGAAAAAGGGAAGGAAATAACCACCCTCATTCTCATCATCCTCACACTTTGTTGTCACCAGCCACTTATTTTCTTCTTTCTTTCCCAAACTAAATGCAGAATTTGCCTAAGATAGATCAAGCGAATCACCAAAAAGACACAAAAGGTCAAAACTCATAGCTCTTGATGGAGCGAATGAGGGTAAACAGTAGCAGATGGCAATGAGGTTCAATGTATCTGTGACATCCCGTCTCCCAGGCTTTGGCCAGTTGGGCTCAGGGAACCGGATACTGCTTGAGGAAAAAGCCCAAGTCCCTGCGCTCAGGGAATGCAAAAATCAAGAGAAGGGAACCCATTGTGATTGGCGCCCGGCCGCAGCAGCTGAATCTGCATTACCCCAGGGAGGTCATGAGGAGAGGACGCTAAGGCAGGACTTTGAGGGACAATTAGGAGTTTCCCTTACTCTGTCCCCAACTTCCCTCTAACTGCTTCCACATGTTCTGGCTGTGTACCTGCCCAAATACATGTATTAACCCTGCCCACCCTCAAACACCCCTATGAAATGGGATGACCACTTGCCATTCAGAATTCCCTATATCCCTATATTCCCTATATCCCCAGATACTTGGCATCATGTCATCTGGTAGGATTTTCTTCAGAAAATACAATTATTCAGCTATCTGATCTTCTAGTCAGACTTGGGGTGCATGGGCCATGAGACCCCAGGACTGTGTGCTTGGCCCTTCACTTTATGCTGGTAGCCTGGCTTGCCCTCTGACGCTCCCATCCCTCATGGAGAGGGCTGCTCCACACACAGCCCCCCGGGGTGTCTCTATGTCCTCTCAGCTTGTCTCCACCAGAGCCCTCCCTTCCAGTGACCCCCCAAAGTGTGTGGTGCTCATCACACTCAGCTGCCTGTGTGTTCTGCCTTCTTTCGACTCTCCCAGCTCGGGACAAATGTGGAAACCGAGGTACCTGCAGTCTCAGCTGAAACTTCAGCAGACCTGAGAAGGAAGCCAGACCCCCCGATTAATTCAAGAGTCCCGGAGGATAGAGGCTGCACTGTTCTCCACACCCAGTAGTGCGACACCTGCTTATTGACTTGGAACGGGCATCAGGAAGCAGTAGCTGAATGAACGATGAGTTGTGCCAACCCAAAGGCATCTGAGGTGTTTTGAGCACAGGGTAAGAGCTCAGCAACTACTTCCTTCCCTGTTCCAGCATGTTCTCTCACGTTAACAGCTAGAGACCTTCAAAGCGGCCCTGGCACCGCAAATCCCGCTCCTGCCCAGCACCTGTCGGCTATGATGGTCTTGGTCCATGAGTGGTTTGGGCCAGGTTGTTATTGATTAACCTGAGCCCAAGCCTTTGAAGCCATGGACACAATTAACACAGAAGGACCTGTATTTCAGAGACAGTTACTCTAAGGAGTGGCTATGTGACCGCTCCCCACTGGACCCAACTTTTCCCATCAATCAATGGCCAACAAAAAGGGAGGAAATGAGATACAAGAAAATGCTTTGTGCTGTGGAGCAAAAAGGCATCTGAGCAAGTATTTTTTTTTT